TAAATGAAATAAGTCTTTTCTCCTTTATGCCTGCAATGAGAAATTTAAATATGATTCCCGACCCCGCGGTGAACAGCAAGGCGAAGCGCGTCTCGGAGCATAAATATGTACGAGGTTTAGTGGCCTCGGCCGCGGCACGGCAAGGCACGGCACGGCACGGCGTGACGTCTCGCCGTGCGAATAGAGAAAAATAGGCTGTAAAGGCAGTGCGGGCCGTGGCCTGCCGAGGCCGTGGGGATGGCCTGGCCGTGGCCTGGCCGAGGCACTGCAAGAAGAGGCACAGCGCGGCCGGGGCCGTTAGGCCCGATTCACTCGGCCTGCCCTTTCACGGCCTCGGCCCCGCCCCGCCCCACCCCGCCCCGAGTGGCGTTCTGGTCGACACCCTCGCGGTACAACCGCTGGCATTTTCAACCGTGAAAAAGAGGGAAGGGCGCGCGGCAATAAAAAGAAGGGGGCCGCGATGCTTGACTTTTAACACCTCGAGGCGCGATCATTTCATGTTTTTGTTGTTGTTGTTGTGTTGTTTGCCGTGCCGTTGGCTTTGGGCGCGTGCCACGATACGCTGTGCGAGTCCTCTTTCCGCGCTCCATTGCCCGCGCGGACGGACCGACAGACGGACTGTCATTCAGGGGATTCGGCCCATGGAGCAGGCGAGTATCATGCGAGCATATTGCGCCAAAGAGCGACATGTCTTCCACGCCAGTGACACACACACACACACACACACACACACGGGTTTACCCTGTCGGCAAGATGCACTTGAACATAACACGCTTGTATTCACTCCGCCGTCCATGAAACGCGTTCAATGCTTTCCCGTCCTAACTCTCGACGCCATGGGCTTTGACGCGATGCAGAGGTCAGCATGGTGACCGTGGTGACGAGCTGGCAGGCGGTTAGCACGCCCTCCCCCCCGCCCCCCCCCCCCCCCCTGGGCCCTGGGCCCTGTGTGGGGCCCTGTGGGCCCTTTGGGTCGGCATCAGATTATCCCGGTCCATGTTTCCCTCTTTGTGCTGCAATTTGCGCGAGACGCGGTCGTCCCCTACTCGTGGACGCGTCACGCGTGCGGAGGTCCGGCACCACACTGTGGGTCACACTGTGGGACACACAGTGTGGGACATGGGTGGGTCCCGCCAGCTCGCTCGCCAGAGGGGCGCGTCGGCTATGTTGTCCGATTGCAAATGAGAGTTCAAACTGTTTCTCTGGTTCCAAATCCTTCGCAACGCGTGTCGCACTGCCAAAAAGTTGAAGGACAGCTGACAGGCTTTATATAAAACCGGAAATGGTTTTTTTTTGTGTTTTTGTTGCTCTGCAGCATGTTAAACTGTTAACCCCTCGCCCTCGGTGGCCGCCCCTTCCCCTCCCCCTCCCCTCGTCCATTGTTTGCCTCTCATCTAAACGGGATTTACCGCCAATTCACCGTCTGCACTCCCTGATTTAAATTGGCAACATTGTCTGCGTGTGTGTGTGTGTGCGTGTGTGTGTGTGTGTGTGTGGCCGGTCTGCCACACTAGCTTACTCACAGAGACCCCCTGCGCTGCCACCCCAGGGGAGGGTATAACTTGGCCCATTCGCCGCCCAACGCCCTGCCGCCGCCCTGCCCCGCCCGGTCTATCCTCTGCCAACTCCCTTCCCGGTCACCGAGGGCGGACCCCCCCCCGGACTCGCCACACCTCGTCCTGAACTGCCGTAATGTTCCCCCAGACAGGTGTGGTCGCCGGCCTTTTGACACCCCTCCGCCCCCTCGAAAAAAAAATCGACAAAAATAACAACACTAACCTTGTCCAACTGAAGACGTCTGGCTTATTAGATTGCAAGCTGTTTGTCCTGTGCGACAGAGAGAGAGAGAGAGAGAGAGAGAGAGAGAGAGAGAGAGAGAGAGAGAGAGAGAGAGAGAGAGAGAGAGATGGAGGGGGGGAGAGAAAGCGAGAGGGAGGGTGAGAGGCTTACATCCGACTGCTTATTGTGTGTTTGCATTGATGATGGAGGAGGCTCGCTTCTCGGTTCAAAGTTATGAGAAAATTGCCGCTCTCCACTTGGATCCGCTCGCAGCGTCATTTCCACGCCATTCGCGTCTAACAGCGCTCTCTGTCTCTCTCTCTGTCTCCCTCTCCCCCTCCCCTGCCGGCGTGCACCTTGTTTACACACACTAACGAACGAACAAAGGGGCGAACGGCGCGGCAACGCACGATAATCCGTCACTCGTACATGGCGCGGCGTGGCGCGGCGTGCGGGGAGCGCCGCGATGGATAATTCAAACTAAGTGCACGCCGCCCGGCCTCTTCTCTCTCTCTCTCTCTCTCTCTCTCTCTCTCTCTCTCTCTCTCTCTCTCTCTCTCTCTCTCTCTCTCTCTCTCTCTCTCTCTCTCTCTCTGGAGTGCCAGGCCCACCGGGCCGGTAAAGTTTATTCCCCCCTTTCGAATTAGAGAGCGATTTAGTGACGCGGGCTCGGCGGTGTGTCGTTTCAAATTTTGATCAAACTAAACCGAATTGCAAAAAAAAAGACCAAGGATAGGAAAAATAATAAAATGTTGTCGCCTGTCTGTCGTCGGATCGGCAGCCTGGTGCGTGACGGTGTGACAGGGTCGGCGGCCGTCTTTGGCGCCAAAGTGCTTAATAACGTTCAGCGCGGCGACGCGGCGACACGCGGCGAACGGGGCAGTGACTTGGGGCGGACGGACGGACGCTCAACTCTTTTCCAGTGGGACGCGCCAAAGCCCCTTGATACAGGAGGGGTCAGTAGATTGGCGACGGGGGAGGGGGAGAGGCAGGGCGAGGGCGTTGACTGTCCAAACAGAGCCAATACGGCTTAGCAGTGAGCCTCGGACCGACTCGCAGGTCAGTAAGGGAGAAAGTGGCCCGGGAGGGGGGGGACGTCTTGGCGCAGCGGGGACACTGTGAGTTTGTGTGTGTGTGTGTGAGAGAGAGAGAGTGGGGGGGGGGGAGTGTGTGTGGAGAGAGTGTGTGTGTTGGTGTAGGTGGGGTGGCATGTTCGTATTTGTCTCCGTCCCATCGGTGTGGACACGAGCAAGACGAAGGGTGAGCGGGAGGCCAATACGACAGTCAAGTCACTGGCCGGTCGGCCCCTGCCTGCCTGCCTGCCTTGGCCAAGCCCGGCCGAGCCGATCCCCGCAAGAGTTTTATCTCTTGGAGCCAAAAGGTTTCGTCGCCAGCACTGCCAGCAGCCGGGAAGGACAGCACACACACACACACACACACACACACACACACCACACACACACACACACACACGACGTGTCGCGCTCACCAGCTCCATTTCTCATCCTTTGCCCATCCCCGGCCGGTCCCTCCCCGGTCCGTCAGTCTGGAGTGGACTCGTTGATTTAGCTCAAAAAGTGTCGCCCCGTGGCAGTGGTGCGACGCGGTGGACGGGACGACCAGATTCCCCTCCGCGGAGAGATTGCACCGCCGACCCGCCGGACGGACGAGGCGGGCAGACAGCGCGGCGCCATTGCGACTTGTTACTTAGGGAGGGAGAGGGCGCTGCACTGCAAGAATGCTCCGTCTCTGTCGCACTCGTTGGGCGTGCCGTAGGAGTGCGAGAGAGACGGAGAGAGAGCCTGCTGCACGGCCTGCATGCTATTATTTGCGCTGCTGGCCGCCACAGCAACATGTGAGCGGGGAGGCTCTGCAGAGCTCTGAGTCCCCCACGACTGCCGACTCCACCTACAGCCAACATCGGCCCCTCCAGCCGCTCCAGTCACTCCAGCACCGGAGCCCATCACTGATGGCCATCTCGAGGGTCCCGAGGGACGCGGCTTCGGCTTTCGATTTGTTTTTCGCGAGACTGCCCCGGCCCCGTCTCCGCACTCCACTCCACTGATTGAATGGCGCTAATCCGGGACTCCTGGATTAATAGGGAGATGAATGATGACTGGCGGAGTCGGGCGCGCCCGGGCGGAGCGCGGAGCAGTCAGGAGGCGGATCATGGGTACACGACCTGCAGACTGATTCCGAGAGTCGCTTTCGTCGCTCTGTCTCTGTCGCACTCGTTGTGGGTCCCAAGAGAGACAGAGCGACGGAAACGACTCTCGGAATCAGTCTACATCAAGGCGCAGCCACAACTGCAGCCACTGTGTCCAAGAAAAAGAGTCCACAAATAACAGCGATTGGAGCGGAGAGACACCTGCGCCACGCTCCCTCCGCCCCGCCCCCGCCCCACCCCGCGCCGCCCCGCGCCGCCCCGCCCCGCCCCGCGCCGCCCCGCCCCGCCCCGCCCCGCCCCGCCCCGCCCCACCCCGCCCCGCGCCGCGGCGCTAAGACTAATTCCCTTTATTAAGTCTTCCAGCCGAACGGATCAAAACAGCGGCGACCTCTCATTTTTGAGGTCCGTCCGCGACGCCGCGGCGGAGTGAAGTTACCTCATTTTCCAATTTCACAGTCGGGGCCTCCCGTTCCTGGCCGAGGAGTCCCAGGCGCTGCCGAGGCGGCCCCGCAGACCGAATCCGAGGCTCGTTTTCTGTCTCTCTCGCACCAGTGCGGCACGCGCCGTGGGTGCGACGGAGACGGAGCGACGATTCTCGGAATCAGTCTGCGGGAGCGCGGATATCGGCTGGAAGTTGCCGGCGAGTCGAATGCCGGGGCTGTAATAATGAGGCCCAACTTTGTGGCCCGAGGAAGGAGGGGGCGGGGCATAGTGAAGAAGGCGCCGGCTCGGGTTCGAATCCCCGTCGCCGCGGTAGTTTTCTCTAGTTTTCGTTTTTCAAGGGGGGGTTCTACAGTGGGCCACAAGACCGGCGGAGGCGGTCAAAGTCCTGGATGCGTTTTGAGCTCCACAGTCTCTAAATGGGACTCAAACCGAACTTGTGACCCCACCAATGGATTGCTCTCCCAACGAGGAATCCATTGGTGGGATCACACGCTCGGTTCGAGTCCTGCCTAGCGACTCTAGGGCTCAAAACGCGTCTAGAGTTTCGGCCGCCTGCGCCGCGCTGGTCCTCTGGCCCACTGTGTAACGGCCTGTTGTTGTCTGCTCGCAGGATCCGGCAGGAGATGAACGGCGGTGCGTGGTGCCCCAAGGCGCAGATCTCGTCCGAGGTGCGCGAGTACCTGGAGGTGGACCTGCAGGGCGAGCACCTCATCACGCGCACCGAGACGCAGGGCCGCTTCGGCAACGGCCAGGGCCAGGAGTACGCCGAGCACTTCCTGCTGGAGTACTGGCGGCCCGGCATCAACCGGTGGGTGGCGTACCGCGACCACAGCGGCTACAAGGTGAGTCCCGGGTTCAAAACCCCAGCCTCTCTCTGTTTTTTTTTTTTTCGTTTTTTTTGCCCAATTATTTTTTGCCGGTGCCGCGGTTCGGTGTTCCCGGCCGATGAAAGGCGGGGCGACGCCGCGACTGAATGGAACCGCGGGCCAGTCTCTAAGGCTTCACTGGGCTTTGCTCGTCGTCACTGTAGGCTGTGTCCTTCCAGTCCTTCCAGTGGAGGTCCACCCCCGCCGCGCTCGGCCGGTCTTAAACCTCCGCTTTAATTTCCCCGGAAACAAACAGGCGGTCTGTCTGTGTGTCTGTCTGTCCGTTGGCGTCTGATCCCCGCCGACCGCCCCCGCCTCTAAGCCTCTTCAGTGCAGGGCCCGACCGATCCCCGACCCCCTGGAGAAAGCGCGCTGTTCGCTGGAGGCTCTGGAGGATCCGGGCGGGCCGTGCTGTGTGCTCAGTCCGTGCTCAGCCGGACCGGGCCGGGACGGGGGGTCCAGATAGTCGATATACATGGCCGGCGTTTTTACCGGTGGAGGGGCCGCGGAGCCTCGGCCGCCGGCCCGGGTTGTTTGCCGAGGGGATCCAAGGTGCACTGTGGGGCGGGGCGGGGCGGGCTGGGGCGGGGCCACATATTGCTGGAGGAATAAGCCCCAAGCCCCCGGCCGGCGACGTCAAAAGCCGAGAGCTTTCCCATGCCGCTGCTGCCGCTGACCGGACTGCCGGCTCTTTCAACCTTTTCACCGGCCGGCTCTCGGGCTCTTCTCTGCAAGTCGCGGGGCGGGGCGGGGCGGGGCGGGGGGGGCGGGCGGGCGGGGCGGGGCAGGGCGGGGCGTGGCGTGGTGGGCGAAAGGCAAAGCAGCGGCCGAACCAGTCCGTCGGCACGCCTCTCTTCTCCCAATGCCGGAGCGCGGGCCTTTCAAGTTTAACGTTTCGCCGGCACACTGATTCCGAACAAGCCGTCTCTCTCGCTCGCGCACTGTCCGGTAGGGGTGCGAGAGCGACAGTGACGGCGACGCGTGCTCCGGGGAGGGCGGCGACGACGACGGCTCGGCACACTCTAGATCGGCCTGGCGGCCCGTGCCGCCCGCATTAGCACGGCACTGTAAGCCCTCTTATCTGCCCCGAGTGTAAACAGACGCGTCGTGGCCCCGCCCCTCCAGCCGGGCCGCGAAATCCGCATCCGGCGCGCAGACTCCGTCGCACTTATCCAGCAGGTATTCATCATGCAGCGGGGCAATGAATACTAATGGCCCCCTTCTCCCGGCCTCGCTGCCGCTACACTGGGTAATGCGCGCGTTCGCGCGTTCGCCGTTCGGCCCAGCGGCGCGGTGCGGGTGTTTGAACCCGCGGTTTCGGCGCCGCCGTCCGACGCGCTGCGGTCGCGGCCACCGGGCCGTGCTGCGGTCGGCTTTATTGTAGTGTGCGGCGGGGCCGGTGGGGCTGGCGCCGCTAGGTGCCCCCCCCCCCCCTCCCCCCTCCCCGTCCTTCCGGCGCCATCACCGGACTCCGTTTCCGGTAGTTTCCAATCAAGTAGAAAGTCCATTTCCTGATAGTCATTTCATTTGAGAGCCGTGCCGGCCGTCCGGCCGTCCCGGCAGAGGACCCTCTCGTCGTATCGAGCCGCACCGTCACATCTGAGGGCCGCCCGGGGGGGGGGGGTTCTCTCGGACATCTGAATAGACGGGGAAAACCTCAAACCACTCCAGCGACATCCACTTTGCTTGACCGTGGCTGAATGGCAGCCAATGGCAGCGACCGCGCCATCCTGGACCGGCCAAGTTCATAATCAGCGGGGAAAGCCATTTCGGTGACTTTTGAGCGTTGTACGTCTGAATTCGCAAAAGAAGTCCGCCTGGCCGTCGTCTTCGTCGTCAAGTAGAACCGTGGCCTCTGCTCGTCCCCATGAGGCTCTCCGCGTCTCTACAGTGGGCGTGATTAATTTTTCAGGACCGAATTTGAGCGCGGCCGTTTGATGCTTGGAGGCCTCGAAGGCGGTTCGAGGTATCGAGACCGCGGCGGGTAGCGTGCAAATTTAATAAGTCTTTATTGTGGCGATTGGCGAAAGGGAGGGGGGCGGTCCGTCGGGAGCGGACCGCGGCCTGCTGGCGGCATTCTTCCATGCTCTGATGAATTTTTCAGCAGACCTTGAACTTCGGGTGGGTAACCTCGTCGTACTTATTTGGGAGAGAGAGAGAGAGAGAGAGAAGATTGGCGAGACGGACCAGGGGCGGCGGGGGCAGAAAGTTTGGCGGTGGAATGAGTCCAGCCCGCCCCGCCCCGCCGCGCCCCGCCCGCAGCGACCGCTACACAACCGTCAGGCCCGGCCTGCCGGCCCAACTGGGACAAATGTCAAACAAAACCAAACAATTGGAATGCAATTTCATTTGAGGTGGCCGGACCCAGCAGTGCGCGCTCCGGTCGGCTCCGCCGCCCTGCTCTCCGGTCGCTCCGACCGAACGGACCGAACCCTGCTGCTGGCCGAGCTGGGCAGGTTGTCGGTGCGTTGATAGTTGGCAGAGGGGCTGGCGGTGGCGAGGGGGGGGGGGCGAGGGCCCCCGGGCCCCGCCCCAGAACTCCATTCTCTCTACCCCTTACATTGTTTCCCGCGGACAACTTGAATCGGGCATACCAACCCCACGGCAAACAAATCAATCGCGCTGCCGGGGCTGCCAACCGAGCCAACACGCCAACCCCCGCGGCGGCAGCAGGGCGGCAGCACAACGCCGCCGCATTTTTCAGGTGCGATTGGCAACACTGCTGCACTGCGGCGCGACGCGTTGTCCGACGACAAGTTTATGGCGGTAATTTGGCGGCCGGCGTCGTCATCGCCCGGGCCGTGATGGACGGTGTGTGTGTGTGTGTGTGTGTGCGCGTGCGCGTGTGTGTGTGTGTGTGTGCGTGATGTTTCTGGTTTTTGTTTTGCGCACGGGGCAGCAATGAGGAGGCAAGCGGTCAGTCTGCGCGCGCAAAGTGGCTACTTTCCGGTGTGTGTGTGTGTGTGTGTGTGTGTGTGTGTGTGTGTGTGTGTTTAGGTGTGTGGTGTGTGTGTGTGTGTTGGATAGCCTGTTTCTTTCCTCCTTTTAGCTCGCTCTCTCACACACACACACGCTGACTGTGAAGCGGGTTGATATTCCCATCAATTCGCGCATCACTGCAGACGGATAAAAAAAGGGACGGTGCGATGAGCAGAAGCTCCACTCGCAGACAATGTCGGCCGGCCTCTCTGCGTGAAGGCTGTCCGACTCGACTTTGGCTTTTGAAAATAGCAAATGTATCCGCGCCCCAATGAGTTCGGCCTGGCTGTACCACGCTGTGCCGGTATGGAGAGTCATCTCGTGATTGCACCAACAAACGGAGAACGCTTCCGATTCTTTCCCTGCTGATGGTTAAGACATTCTGGGCATTACCGCTCATATAAACGCGCAAGGTTTTTCATTTCTCTCTACTCAAGCAGTAATTTTGTTGTTGTTGTTTTTTTTTTCAGGTGCTGGCGGGCAACAGCAACACGTACCTGGTGGCGCAGCAGCACCTGGCGCTGCCCTTCGTGGCCACCAAGGTGCGCTTCATCCCCTACAGCGAGTACCCGCGCACCGTGTGCATGCGCGTCGAGCTCTACGGATGTCCCTGGGAACGTGAGTATCTCCATCAGCCAAGCACACTGCCAACGGCACGACTGGAGGCGGTCAAAATCCCATCCCGGACGCGTTTTGAGCTCCTTAGTCGCTACATGGGACTCAAACCGAACGTGTGACCCCACCAATGGATTGCTCTCCGAACGAGGAATCCATTGGTGGGGTCACACGTCCGGTTCGAGTCCCATTTAGGGACTCTGGAGCTCAAAACGCGTCTACAGTTTTGGCCGCCTCCACCGGTCTTCTGACCCACTGTGCAACACACTGATTCAGTGTCACTGGGCTGGTCGACCCGCAGCCGGCAAGCAGCCCAGGCGGGTCCTGAAAACAAAAACAACAAAAAAAAAACAGCAAAATAACCGCAAGGCGCGGCGAAGAGCCACAAACATATTCATCCAATCACGAGAAAACACAGGCAAAGTTTGGCTCGGCTGCGCGCCGCGCTGCGAATGTTTGGAGGGAAAGTGGGTTTGGTCGGGAAGTAGGCTCGCCCAGCAGCGAAGCAGCCAAGCAGCAGCCTGCTTCCGCTGTCGCTCCGTCTCTCTCGCACTCATGGCGGCCGGCGCGCAGGGGTGCGAGAGAGACAGGGCGACTCGCCCGAATCGCTCGGCTGGCGACTTTAATCTGGCGACGCGGCGCGAATATTGCGGGGAAAGGAGAGAGAGAAGGAATTATTCGACAAATAAAAGAGAGAGAGAGACAGAGGGAGAAAAGGGATGATAAGAGACGGAACGGAGCGGCGCCGAGTGTAAATCTGGCGCTTGTTCCCAAACTCGTCGGCAGCGATGAAGCGCGCCCGGCGAGAAGGAGGTGCGGCCGGGACGCGCTTCCGATATTCTTGTTTTTGTTTTTATTCTTCTCGCGGGCAAGTGTCATCTTTCCTCCCTTTGGCTGGCGGTGGCGGCCGTCGGCCATCGTTTGCGAATCACTGGAACCACTCGCGGCAACTTCGTCGAGCCTGTCGCCTACACGTCTGCGGGCAGCGCGGCCCAGGACGACGACGACGGGGAAGGAGTTGGTGCTCCAAAGAGTTGGCAGAAAAGTGTAACAAAGTGGGACAGAAGTCAGCAAATGGCTGGCCCCGCAGCAGCCCGCCGCTCCTCGCAACTAGAACTGCGTGGTCTGAAAAAGGGGGAGGGGGAAAGGGGGGTCGCACCGCCAGCCTTGCCTGCAAACCGCTCGGGGGTTTAGTGTATCCGGAACCGGGCCGGGGGAGGGGAGGGGGGCGGCCTCAGGCTGGCCGCAGGGCGCGGGAGCGGTACCCTAAGTTACTGCCACGACCCTACCTACACGTCGCTGCCCCGCGGCGTCCCGTCGCGTCCCCGCCGCCGTCTCGGCGGTCTCGGGGGGCCCGGGTCACGCGTCACGCGGCGCGCACGCGCTCGGTTAACTGCCACGGCGATGATGACGGCGAGGTCGTGCCGCCGTGGCGGTGCACAGTGGACCAGAAGACCGGCGTGCGGCCGAAACTCCAGACGCGTTGTGAGCTCCAGAGTCGCTAAATGGGACTCGAACCGAGCGTGTGACCCCACCAATGGATTGCTCTTCGAACGAGGGATCCATTGGTGGGGTCACACGTTCGGTTCGAGTCCCGTTTAGCGACTCTGGAGCTCAAAACGCGTCTGGGGTTTTGGCCGCGGGGACGTGGTTGATGAAAGCGGTGGCGTTGTCTGGCGCACGCACCTAACACGCACCGATCGCACCGAGGGGTACCTCACTTCGAAAACAGGTGTACACTGACTGGTGACTATACTCAATTTCCACTTTGACTAGACTGAAATATCACGAAATGCGTTGCAAAAATACTAAAATTGGGACAAATTTACGTGGTTTTGCCGACTTTTTCAGTGACTAGACTGAAACAAGGCAGTGACTGGAGTCAGGGGTGTACACTGACTAGACGAAGTGAGGTACCCCTCGGATCGCACCGATAAGCGCCGATGTGGCCATCCATCTATCGATCTGCATGGTTCCGCTCGCTGCGCGGTGGCCGGCCGGAGCAGGGAGGGCAGGATGTTTCGTGGGGCGCGGCGGCGCGGCTCGCTCGCTGGCCCCCGGGCGGACAGGGAGGGGGCCTTGTTGCGGGCGGTGCGGTGCTGTACCTCGGCAGCCCAACAAGGGGTTACCGGGAACAAAGTAGGAGGGGCGGCATGCGTAGTGTATGCTTGCTCGCTGGCAGGGAAAACGCTGCCGACCCGTTTTGGGAGCATGTTGCGGCCGGGCGACCGCGTCCTGCGTCCGCCTCCCGGCCTCCCAGGCCTTCCAGGCCGCCTCTGCGGAGCCAGAGCGCCGAGCCGAGCACGGCGGAGCACGAACAAGGGCTCGGTGCACGCTAAGGAGATTTCGGACGGCTGCCGTAACTCGTCGGTAAGCCTCTCGTAGATACGGCCATACGGGGCTCGGCCATGCCGCCGCGCTGGCGCACTGCTACCCAGCCATGCCGCGGCGCCTTTCAGCTTCGGCAGGAAGAACTCCTTTATACACCTGCTTACCATTGCTTACCTGTGCCCCGTGCCCCCCGCCGCGCCCCCGCGCCCCCCGGCCGCGCTGTCCCAGTTTGTGTGTTCTCTCGGAGCCTTGCCAGCAGCCAGCTTTCTCGGCCTGATTCAGCACGCCGCTTTTGGTGCGCTGAACCGCGTCAGCTGCACGCCATTTCACCTCCATCCCCGCAGTCTGTCTGTCTGTCTGTCTGTCTGTCTGACTGCCCGTCCGCTCGTCTGTCCGTCTGCCTGTCAGTATCTCCCTCTCGCTTGTTCTGCACTTCCCAGACTGCAATTTCCAGGAGCTCTCGGGGGCTCATCAACTGGAAAACGGTTAACTAACTCGCAGCTTGCAAGTTGTTTATTTTCTTCGGCCTTTCTCCTTTCTCTCTTTTTTTCGTTTTGTTATTCTTGTTGTTGTTCCCGTTCCGCTTTATTGTGCATCGCTCCTCTTCGCCACAGGCTTTTTGCGAGAAAGGCAAAGTTATTTCCAACTCATTAAGTCGTCCTGCGTGAGAAAGTGTGTGTGTGTAGGTGAGCGAGAGAGAGAGAGAGAGAGAGAGAGAGAGAGAGAGAGAGAGAGAGAGAGCGCGTCGAGGAGCGCGTGGAGTCGAGAATTGGATTAAAGTAAAGTGTCTTTCTACGTGTCGTATTAACTGGCGGGGCGTGGGTTCGGCAGAATATTCCCGTCGCACTGATTGTGACGAGTGAGAGCGGGGCTGGCGCGGGGCGGGGCCGGGCGGGGGAGCGACGGAGAGGGAACTATAATACTTCATCACGGCGAGAACAATACTCGCGCTAATCGCTAGTCGGATTGGATTAATTTGCTGACTCGGCGGATGGGGGCTCGCCGAGGCTCGGCAGTGCAGTATCGGGGCTTGTCAGCACGGCGCGGCGCGTGCACTCGCCAGAAACGAGCGAGCTGGAAAAACCAGTGCAGTGTCGAGTGCCCAGCTCCAGAGTCACTAAACAGGACTCGAATTGAGCGTGTGACCCCACCAATGGATTGCTCTCCGAACGAGCAATCCATTGGTGGGGTCACACGCTCGATTTGAGTCCTGCTAAGCGACTCTGGAGCTCACAACGCGTCCTGGATTTTGACCGCCTCCGCCCACTGGACGCCTTACGAAGAGCGGGTAGGCAACCCGGCGCGCTGGCGCGTCTCGCGGGCCGGCCTACCGCCGCAGGGGCCCGGCCCTGTCGGGCTGCGCTCCTTCTCCTTCTCCTTCTCCTTCGCCAGCCGGCCCAGACATCAATCGGCGCAAATCCTATTTGTTTAAATCCCCCTGGGCTAATGTGTGCGCACCACTCGATGCGGTGCAAGGCGGGCACGGCGGGCTCTGTTTGCTCAGTGGGTGGCGGGGCTGTAAAGGAAGGCAGTCGGTAAAACAATTGAATACGCCCAGCCGGGGAAAGGGGGGGGGGAGATCTGGTCTGGGCACCCCGAACAGTGTCCCCCCCCCCTTTTCCCCGTTACCTTTCCTTTGATACTGTCGGGCTGTGTCGGTCTGATTCTCTCTCCTTCTCTCTCTCTGTCGCTCTCATTCGCTTCAATCTCGCGTCTCTCCCTTGGTCCTTAAATAAAGAGAGCGGTCGAGCCCTTTGGGCGTGTTGTCGCGCTGCTCTGAAGCTAGAGCGCCGCGTAGCGCGCTGCTTTCAAGCTCCCGCCTTGCTTTGCTGCCCGCCGACCTGTCCGTCGACCTGTCCGTCAGGCCGCCAGGCGACAACGCGGCTCCGTTCGCCGAGAGTGATGTATTATGGACGTCCGATTTTCGACAGGTCGTGTACACCCCCTCCTCTTCTTTTTCCTCTGGCCAAACCCCGCGCGGATCGGACAGCGGCGCGCCGTCGCTCCGTCTCTCTCGCTCCCCGCGGTGCGCCCCGTGAGTGCAGAGAGAGAGAGAGAGAGACGGGGCGGCGCCGTGCGGCAGCAGTCCGCAGACGCGAGATGAGAATCAATATTGACCTGTCCCTGTATGCATCAAACAACACATCGGCTCCGGGCCGTCGGAGGGACGCGGGGGGCCGTCGGAACGCCGGCTCGCCACGGCTTGCCACCACACTGTGGGTCACGGTGCCGCGGCTCCGAGAGGACAGAGGGCTCTCGCAAACACGTCCGACACAGCACACAAAAAAAACACATCCACTGTCTTTGAAACCTGTTGTTTTGGTAAAATTGTGTTGTGACTGACGGAATTTGCGCGTGTGTTTGCAGAGAACGTGGTCCGGTACGTGGTGCCGCCGCCGGGCATGGTGGACCGCAGCTACGACGGCGAGCTGGGCCAGCTGGTGGACGGCCTGCGCGGCCCGGACCACTTCCTGGGCAGCCCCGGGGCGGACGGCACAGGTACGCTCCACTCCACTCGCCCGCCTCGGCCGGAGCAATAAATAGAGCGCGAGGCGTCCCACAGTGGGCCAAAAGACCAGTGGAGGCGGCCAAAACTCTAAACGCGTTTTGAGCTCCAGAGTCGCTAAATAGTCCTTGAACCGAACGTGTGACCCCACCAATGGATTGCTCTTCGAACGAGGAATCCATTGGTGGGGTCACACGTTCGCTTCGAGGCCTTTTTAGCGACTCTGGAGCTCAAAACGCGTCTAGAGTTTTGGCCGCCTCCACTGGTCTTCTGGCCCACTGTGCGTCCGCATTGTTTCGCTATGTTGGCTCCACTGTTTGGTATTGATTCGTGGTTCCACTCGTTCCACTCCAGAGCGGCGCTGGGTCGGCTGGCGTCCCGTGGAGGGCCGGCCCCTGGAGATCACCTTCCAGTTCGGCGGCCCGCGCGAGTTCCACAACGTCCGCATCCACGTCAACAACCGGGCCAGCCAGGGCGTCAAGGTATGTTGTTGTCCTTGTTGTTGTTGTACTCGATGTGCGGCCCAGCGATTTAACGTGTCCCGGCGTTCGGCGCGCAGGTGCCCAAGATGGCGACGGTGTCCTTCGGCGTGGACGGGCGTCGCTGGCTGCAGAAGTCCAAGTTCGCCATCGTGACGGAGTCCTCGTCGACGACGTCCACCGCCGCGCCTTCGACTGCCTCCCCGACCACGCCGCGCCCCGTGCCGCGCGCGTCGCCGTCCTCGGCGCCCTCCTCGTCGACGGCGACGTCGGCGGCCCCCGGGAACGCGACCACTGCCGCGGTGCCCGTCGTCGAGGTGGCCACGCCCGGCACTGAGGAGGCGCGCGACCTGGTGGTGCCCCTCGGCGGCCGCGTCGCCAAGTACATCCGCATCGAGCTGGAGTTCGCCTCCACCTGGATCCTCATCAGCGAGGTGGCCTTCGAGTCGGGTGAGTGGCACAATGAAGAGCGGAGGTTCGAATCCCATTGGCGGGGATTTTTTGGCGGGCAGTGTAGTGTACGCGGCGTCACGGCACGCTCGCGCCAGAGCCGCGAAGGGTTTGTGACAGCCCTCCGCAGCCCTCAGACCCACAAAGTGAGGGAATCAAAGCTGAATATCGACGGGGAGGGGCGCGCGGAGAGCGAGACGCGGCCGCGGAGCAGCGGGGACACTGCGAGTCGTTTCACCGTCGCGCCGCGCGGTGATGAGCAATGCGTGAATGGGATCGGGGAGCGAGGAGCCTCGCACTCACACACTCGCACCCGCACACACAGCCCCTTTCTCTCACTCTCACTCTTCCCTCCCGTTTTACCGCGCTTTGCCGCGGGACGGCGACGACTGGCTCCGCTTGCCCTCAAAATTCCGTGGCGTAGAAAATTGAATTATTCCGCGGGGGCGTCGTCGTCGCCTCTCGCCTCGCGCGCCTCGCGCCGTCACTCACCTCGCGACGCGCCGCGACGCGTGGCGACGCCCTAACCGCGTCACGCCGCGTGACAGGACGACGCCAGCCGCGGCTGCCGCGTCGCGTGGCGCCGAGAGCACGCCCCCTCCCTCTCCCCTCCACCGGGCGGGAGAAGAAATTCACACGTCAAGCGGGGATGCAGCGGGACGAGCCCTCCATGCCGTCGTCGCAGTGGGCCAGAAGACGGGGGGAGGCGGTCAAAGTCCCGGGCGCGTTTTGAGCTCCAGAGTCGCTAAACAGGACTCGAACCGATCGTGTGACCCCACCAATGGATTCCTCGTTTGGAGAGCAATCCATTGGTGGGGTCACACGTTCGGTTCGAGTCCTATTTAGCGACTGTGGAGCTCACAACGCGTCTAGAGTTTCGGCCGCCTCCACCGGTCTTCTGGTCCACTGTGCGTTGTCGAGCGACCCCTTCGCGTGTTTTGCTCGAACCGCCCAGCCCGCGGGAACAGGGAAATTGTTACAGTGGCGTGCGGCGTGGCCTGGAGGTCGCGTCCTGCTGGAGGCCCTCCAGGGAGCCCGGCTGGGCCGACGCGAAGCCCGGCCAAGCTCGGCGAAGCCCTTCAGAGGCGGCCTCCAGCTCTAATAACGGCCGGTCCTGAGGGAGCTGGTTAGCGCGGGAGGGTGGGGCGGGGCGGGGCGGGGCGGCCGGTAGGGGGCGCAGCTGGTGTTCGAACTTGTGCCAATTGGTTGCGGCTGGTGTCGCCATGGCGTATCGCCACTTTGCGCCCGGATTGCCGCTTGCCGGTGCCAAGGCTGCCCCCTCCCCCTCCCCGCTTCCCCCTCACGGCGGGGCCCGGGTTCAAGTACCCGCGGCGCGGTACCCAGGTCGCTGCGCTCTTCGCTTCGTTTCTCCTCGTTTCTCCTCATTTAGCCGCATCCGGTCTGCGAGCAACGAGTTTTCCCCCTAAGAGGCGGCCGGAAGGCTCCGCGTCGTACCAGCAAGCAAAACGTACGCGAGCGGCCGGCGCTGCGGGGCGCTGCGGGGCTGCCCCGCCCCCGCCGGCCGAGGGGATATTAAAAGCTACCCGCGGCCGGGCCGACACGGCCGACACGGCCAGCATGGCCAGCCCCCCTCATTTCGGCCGTTTGTGCCGCTTGCTGCTTTTGTTTTGGCGCGCGTTTTGGCGGCCGACGCGACAGCAGCCAGCCAGCTAGCCAGCCAGCGGCGTGAATTTAACGACCTGATTAACCGCGTAAAAAGGAGAGTGAAGAGGCGGCCGGCGAAATTAGCGGAGGAAGCCACTGTGTGTTTGTGTGTGTGTGTGTGTGTGTGTGTGTGTGTGAGAGAGAGAGAGAGAGAGAGAGAGAGAGAGAGAGAGAGAGAGAGAGAGAGAGAGAGAGAGAGAGAGAGAGAGAGAGAGAGAGAGAGTGTGTCTGTGTGTAGAAAGTGGCCAGTGCCCTTCATTTGTTTCCCGCGAGTGTTTTTGAAAGCCCTTTTCATTCCGACGCCGCTTTGCTTGGCGAGCTTCTTGGCGGAGTGGCCGCTAGCCACTCCACCTCGCTGCATCGCACCCCCGCCGCGCCGCCGCGCCGCCGTGCCCTCCCGAAAATAATGAGCCTCTTTGGGAACAAAACTAGGAAGTGGATTAGTTTTGCATCCCTTGGTGCTTCCCTGGGGGGCTTCGGGGCCTGCAGGGGCCTCCACTGCTGGGTGCGCGCGCGCCGAGCCGGAACGCGAGCGAGGCGCACAACGAGGGCGACTTCTCGCTCCGAGTGTACAAATAACGAAACTCCGCGGAGCGAGGAGGAACGAGCGAATATGTGGAGCTATTTGCGCGGGGCGTCAAATGCCTGGGCATTATGCTCCACGTGAGGGCGCCAGTCGCCGTGTAATATGTGCCCGCCGCGCCCCGCCCCGCCGCGCCCCACGTTCCGCCTTAATTCCGTCTGCTAATGAGCACCCCGCCGCTGCAGAGGCCGCGCCGGGCCTCCGGGCGGGGCGAAGGGAGGGGGAGGGGAGGGGAGGGGAGTCATATAATTTATAACGGGTATTAATATCGCAGCGAGACACGTACAGCGCGGCCTGGCATTCCTTCATATTATAATCCCCGCCGCAGCGGACAGAATAAACGCGACACGAGTGCGACGCGGGGAGAGAGAGAGAGAGAGAGAGAGAGAGAGAGAGAGAGAGAGAGAGAGAGAGAGAGAGAGAGAAGGGAATTCAAAGGCTTTGCCGCTGACTGCTGTTCGCGGCGGCCGAGGCCGAGGCGAGGCGGCGCGCTGCGATAACAGTGACAAGCAGGTCGGCCCTCGCCCCTCGCTCTCCCCCTGGAGCCTCCAGCAGGGCCATCCCGGAACGGCGCTTCCGTCACTCTGTCTCTGTCGCTCCCCTGCGGGACGGCCCGTGGGTGCGAGAGAGACAGAGCGACTGCCGCAGGACACGCGGGCCGCGCACCTGCAGGTGGTGTAGGGCGACATCGGGGCACGTGTTGTGCCGGGCGCGCTGCCAGCAAACGCCGCGAAGCGAGATGGATCGCCGTGGACAGTGGAGCGGAGGGGAGCGAGTCTAACTTGAGCGTCTGTCTGCTGCAGTGGCCGTGAACGGCAACCTGACGGACGAGTCCCTGGAGAGGATGCTGAAGCCTGGCGCCGGCGGGGACGCGGCCTCGGGGACCACGACGCAGAGCCCGCATTCCAAGAGCGCCGTGACTCCAGGTAAGCAGGGGAAGGCTTTTCGCGCCGCCTGCCCCAACACTGTGGCGGCTCCCACTAAATTCGCGTTGTGTGCTCGCAGCCACGACGGCCACCTCGGAGCAGACGCAGTACGTCGGCCTCATATTCGGCGTCCTGGTGGTGTCCGTGGTGGTGGCGGGCGTCATGTTCCTGCTGCTGTGGCGCCGCGGCCGCCAGAAGGTGTCTTTGCTGCACAAGCACACGGCCCTCATGTGCAGCACCAAGGCGCCCGGCCAGGCCGTGTCCATGAAGGACCTCAAGATGACCCCCGTCATCGGCACCAACGGCCAGGTGTTCAACAGGTGGGCGCACGACACTGCGAACAAACAAACAAATAAACCGCTCGCTGAACGGAGCCCCTGCGCTGGCGGGGATATGCAGGCCCGCAAGACAGACAGGTCGCCGGGCCTGCCTACCCGCCAGGCTGATCACTCCGTCCAGTCGCCTTTTTCTTTCTTTCGAATACTCAATGTTGTCCGTCCGCACCCAGGACCTGCTTGACGTCCTCCGTGAAGGGCGTGAAGAACGGCACCCTGGTGAACGGCGGCCTCGCCAACGGCGCGGACTACGGCCCCGCCAAGAAGGGCTACGGGCAGCCGGTGGTGCTCGGCGAGGAGAGCGACTCGGAGAACTCGTCCGCCTACCACGAGCCCTACAAGCTGCTGCACAAGAAGACGGACTACTTCGGGCTGCTCAAGAAGGACGCCGCCTCCAAGAGCGCCGACACAGGTGAGCGTAGAATGTCCTTTTTTGCGGTGGCCGACTGGGCCGTCCAATGTAGGTGCTTGCCACCACTGCAGCCAGACACTCAAACGCTGCGTCGACGGTCACTCCGGACCGTGCGTGCGGCAACGCAGACCTAGAGCCGAACCAAGTGCCCTCTCCGGGTCAGCCCTGTTCCCGCAAGGAGGATCAGTAGGCCATGAAGCGGAGTGCTGAGGTCGTGGCGGCGGCCTCGGCCAGGGCAGCGCAGGGCGTAAATGGCCAAGGCCGTGGCGGACTCGACGCGGACGAGTGGACGAGCGCCGTTCGGCGACCGCTGTGCCGGCGGAGAGCCTACACTGCCCTGGCGCAGCACTGTTAAGCCCCGACACGTGCCGCCACCGGCCACACTAGGCAACACACGCACACACACGCTGACTCCCACACACTCGCCACCGCCCCTCGGGCCTTCGGGGCGCCGTTCCATAACCAGTCGGCCGTGAAACACACTCAGGTGTGTCGGTCTAAAAATGGCAAATAAGGGTGACGGCGATGCCGGGCGAGGCAGCGAGAAGGAGATGGCCGCTTTGTGTGCCAGTGTGCCTGCCTTTGTGAGTTTGCCTTTGCCTCCAGCTCAGTGGCCGTGCGGCGCTGTGCCGGCCGTTCAAACGACCCCTTTCTTTTTATAATCTCTTTCTTTTTTTCTCTCTCTCTCTTCCGCCCGACAGATTTATCGACGATCGCCGCCGATGACGTCAGGTACACGGCTTTCACGACGACGCTGCCGTCGGCGCCCGTCTCGTCGCAGCGCGCCAACGGCAAGGCGGACAAGTGCTCCACGCTGTTCAAGACGCTGGCGCCGGCCCAGGAGGAGAACTTCTACGCCGCGACGGACATTGTCAAGGTGGTCCCCGACCCTCAAGGCGCCTCTCTCAACCTTCACCTGCAACAACTTTTTTTAATCCTTTTTTGTAAATTTCAGAACGAACGCCGCGAGCAGCACCTCTCCGTCGGCCGGCTGACGTGCCTGCAGGCGCCCGTGGGCGTGCCCGTCCTGGAGGGCGCCGCGTCCCTGCTGGAGTTCAACCGCCACCGCCTCAGGATGGTGTCCAAGCTCGGTGACGGCAACTTCGGAACGGTAGGCTGCTCGGCTGCTTCAGCCTTGGCTTCAGCCTTGGCTTCAGCCCCTGCGTTCGCCAGGGTAGGCAGTCCCTCGGCGCGCGCGTCCACGGGACTGCCTACCCTCACGGCGCGCAGTGGGCCAGAAGACCAGCGTCGCTTACGAGGAGTCAAACCGACCGTGTGACCCCACCAACGGATTCCTCGTTCAGAGAGCAATCCATTGGTGGGGTCACACGTTCAGTTCGGGTCCCATTTAGCGACTCTGGGGCTCAAAACGCGTCCGGGATCTTGACCGCCTCCACCGATCTTCCGGCCCACTGGCTGACGGTACGCTGACGGCGTGCTGCTTGCAGATCCACGTGTGCGAGGCCGAGGGCGCCCCGGACTACAGCGGCCTGTCGTCCTTCCACAAGAAGCAGGTCGTCATCTCCAAGTCGCTGGGACGCCGCTGCGGGGACACCACCAAGTAAGCAGTGTCCCGTCTTGGAGCGACCCACCTTGGCCGGCTTTGGCGAGAGCGAGGTGCTCTGCGGAGGGGAGGGGCTGCAGGTGCTCGACGCGCCGTGTCCGGCGTACTTTCCCTCCCGCCATCAAAATAAGCCGCTTTCATCCGTCACGGCCAGCAGTGTCGCGCCGTCTCCCTCGCACCCTGACGCGACGCGGGCTGATATTGTGTCCGCGAGCCCCGCGCTAAGACGGCGGCATTGCCGCGGCACTGCCAAGGCATTTCCAAGCGCGCCGCGTCCGTCCCTGTGGCTTTCGCGGAGTGGCTGCGCCTCGCCGCGCTGATCTGTCCCTCTCTCTCCATCCCTCTGTCACCCCTCTTTCTCTCTCTCTCTGGACGAGCCTGTTTACGGCCGCCGCTTTTATACGTTCGGCGTCTGGGATTGTCGCTCCCAGATTAACTGTAGGCCTCGCGGAGCTGCCGCCTGCTGTTTCCGCCCCTGCGGTCATTGTTTGGTCTGACCTGGTTCTCCTCGCTCGGCAGGCAGGAGTTCCTGCGCGAGGCTAGCTGGCTGGCGACGCTGAGGGACACCAACGTGTGCCGCGTGGTGGCGCTGTGCAGCCAGGACGGCCCGCCCTGCCTGCTGCAGGAGTACTCGGAGCAGGGCGACCTGTTCGCCTTCCTGCAGAGGCCCGAGAACCTGTCCTTGAGGTGAGTGTTTTGCCACGCCTCAGGAGTGTAGTCGTCGAGGACGTCATGCGACGTTTGCTGACCGATGGTCTTTGTCTTGTGTTCAGCTACGGATGCCTCATCTACATGGCCACCCAAGTCGCCTCGGGGATGAAGTACTTGGAGGCGCTGGAAGTCACGCACAGAGACCTTTCTGCCAGGTAAGCAAGCAACTTGCCGTGGATCGTACCGCCTCACCAAAGTGCAGACATGAAATTCAATTTCTGCTCATTTTTGTGCCCAACAGAAACTGCGTGGTGAGCCACCACTACACCGTCAAGGTGTCCGACCACGCCGTATTCTGCTCGGCGTTCGACCAGCACTACTACAGCAGCGACACTGGCTCCAAGCTGCCCATCCGGTGGATGGCGTGGGAGAGTCTGCTGCTGGTGAGCTCCGTTCCCTTTTTCTCTTTCCCCTCTGCAACGCCTGAACGGTATTTTTAATTTATTGTTGTCTTTTTCTTGCAGGGCCAGCACAGCCCCCGCAGCGACGTGTGGTCGTTCGCGGTGACGCTGTGGGAGGTGCTGGGCCGGTGCCGGGAGCTGCCGTTCTGCGAGCTGACGGCCGAGCAGGTGGTGGAGAACTGCAGCCACTGGTACCAGGACTCGGGGCTGCAGCGCGCGCTGCTGCGGCCGCCGCTCTGCCCGCGCGAGATCTACGACCTGATGCTGGAGTGCTGGCGCCGCAACAAGGACACGCGGCCCCGCTTCCACGAGATCCACCTGTTCCTGCAGCGCAAGAACCTGGGCTACGAGCCGGGCTCGTGATACAGCGACGGGGAGATGTCTTCCTCGTAGGTCAGCCAGCACCCAGCACCTCGAGTCGTCTCCCCTTCCCCCTTCCATTTTGGAAAAACGACAACCGACTTGTTGTCTCTGTCCAATGGGGATCGATCTCCATGATTCATGGCATAGCTGCGACTCAGTGATACGCGCCACTCTCTTGACTCCGTCGACTTGCTCAAGTTGGGCGGGCAAAGCATCCTGCAATCAACCATGCCGAAGGGTGCCGCGGTCAATGTCAATGTCACTCAGGACACTAGACTTTCCACTTGTCTGGAATGTAGGAAGGAAACAACGTTCTCTGCGACTTTCCTAGGGATGTAGCTAGCAGAGCGCAAACGAATATCAACAAACAATTCTAAACCATACCAAGTTTAGGTGTAAAGTTGTTTAAGTAATTTCTGTGATATTATTTATTTCCAATGTCTATGTTGGATCCTTACCTTTGTAATGTATTACTAACTGTATAAAATTTTTGGATATGTCTTCTGGCCAATGAGGCAAATCACTTTTGATTTAAACAGACTTGCTGGCACAACGGCAAGCCAATTCCAAACATTTCAATTTTAAATGACTATCATGCTGAAACCAAGATCTGGAGAGTTAACTATCTTGGGCTGATGAAATTGATTCTTCAAAAGGCGATGTAAGATTTGGAGACAATAGCTATTATTTTGCCAGCATTTTCCAGTTACATAAGAATAGTGATGACCTTTTTGTCGTAAGTCAAATGTTATCTAGATAAATTATTCTTTGTTTTTTTTCTCAGGAGTGTCACTATGCATTGGTTTGTAGTTAAACCTATTTATTTTTGTAAAGCGGGTTTAATGACTGAAAGGGTTAGGTGTATTTATCAAAGAAGCGTTTGGCAGTTGGAATGTCTGATAAAAATATTTCATGGAATTATTTCGATCAGATGTCAAAATCTACTGCCTTTGAAGAAAACTCTGGATTCCATTTACGAGAAAGTTTTATAGGTTTCATCACATCACTTTTATTGTATAAATTGGTTTGAACAATATGCTTTTAGAGGATTGCCCTCATCTTTTTGTTAATTTTTAAAATATTTCATGATGAGGTATTTTAAAAGGAAAGGCTTAATGGCTTTGTGTCAATTTGGCAGAAAGTTAGGAATGAATACTGTGCTATTATCAGTGCAGGTCAATTCTATGATTTCTTCTTCTCTTTTTTAAGTAATACACCACTTGGTGCCGAGAAAAAAAAAATTCTGGTTTTAAAATGTTTACTTACATTTGAATCAAATTTAAATGAAGTTTAAATGCACTGTCAGGCAGACTTGACCCTAAATTCTTCCTTGACCTTCATTCTAAAAATAAGCTGTCCACATTCTCTTACCATGACTGAAAGCTCAAGATAACATTTGGCAGGAAAGAACAACAAATCTTGCATTAATGCATTTTTTACATTTCGGTTATCTCTCCCTGTCCCCCTCATGTAAAGTTACGCCACAAATAATCTTGACAATCTTTCATTATTACTATTTATGCAACTGCTTAGCAACCTTGTTTCGTTTAAGTGGATTTTGTCTTGATAACATATCTTTTTTCTACATTACCGATGGATTTCAATTTTGGAATAAATACATCTTTTCTTTAGAACTTTGCGTATTAGTCTCCTTCTCGTTGTCCCCAAACTGACACAGTGCGACCAAGAACGACTGAAAACTGTCAGGTGAACGAACCGGAGGAAGTGAGGGAAGGTCACAGAATAGCCAACATGAAAAAGAACTTTCTGACGGCTGACTGAATCTTACAATCACGTTGCAACAGGGCGCTGGCTGAGGTTGAGCAGCATCTGGAAGTAGCTGAACCACTTGCGGAAGGCCTCGAGGCAGTGGGCGCGGTTGAGCGTGGTGAGGCGGTGCACGCGCGCGGAGGTCGCCACGGACGTCATCTGCATCACCATGATGCGGCACCGGCGCTGCGACACGGTCTCCGACAGCCAGGGGCCCTCGTAGCAGCGCCACGACACCGCCGTGCTGCAGTTCTGGAGGCGAGAGAAAGGAGTGGGCCAGAAGACCAGCGCCGGCGGCCGAAACTCTAGACGCGTTTTGAACTCCAGAGTCGCTTAACAGGACTCGAACCGAGCGTGTGACCCCACCAATGGGTTCCTTGTTCGGAGAACAATCCACTGGTGGGGTCACACGCCAGGCTCGAGTCCCATTTAGCGACTCTGGAGCTCAAAAAGCGTCTTCTAAAATATGTTTGTCCTTACTTCCAAGTTTTGCCCCTCCATACACAGAGGCACGAAGATGACAAACATCAGCGGCATGGTCGAGTACGTGTTGCTGGTCACTTCGCCTTCTCGCAACATGCCGGCCGCCAGGCTCACCTGGAGCAACATTCGCAGCACACTCAGGAACGGCGCGTTCTGCCGAGGGGGAGGGGGGGGAGGCGTACCATGGGCATGACGAGCGACACGAGCAGGATGAGGGGGAAGACCGGGCCGCAGATCCGGTCCACGCGACGACTCAGCAGCTGCAGCCTGCTGCACAGCACGGCGCACGGCACCGTCACGCCCGCACCGCCGTGGACCTGCAGCAGAGCCGCGCGGAGCTTCTTATTGGGGATGGCGGTTCACCCAGCGGCCGGTGACGTCACGCACCTGCACTGGCGCCGCCGACGCGACGAACAGGGCGGCCATGACGGCGTACATGATGAGCAGCGTGGGGATGAGCGTGTAGTAGGCCAGCAAGGCCCCCGTGGCGGAGTACAGGCGGAACACGGCCTTGTAGGGCGAGTCCTGGAGCTCGCCTCCCATCACCACGTTGGAGTACAACGAGAAGATGGTCATCCAGCTGAAGGCGCTGTAGCCCGAGCCGACGCGCTTCGACCAGCGCGCCACCGCCGCGAGCCGCGCCTGCGTCCAGATATCACGTAAAGGTGATCCCACAGTGGGTCGGTCGGTCGCAGACGGTCGGTCGGACGGTCGATCGGCAACGCTGAGGAGGCTTATGTGTCTCGGTGGCTCCGGGCGCAGAGGCAGCGGCCGCGTCGAATGAGGACTTGGATTCGAATCCCAATGACAAACTTATTTTCTTTGGCTGGCCTGGGTTTGGCTCCCAGGAGTGAATCTTTTCCTAAGTTTACTTCTTACATCCGGTACCATCACTCTAAGATTGATCGCGTTGCATCTCAGTGGCTGGTTGGCTGATATGGTAGAGGTGTCAGCTGGCGGGAGGAAGTCCTGGGTTCGACTCCCAGGTGGGTGAGTCTTTTTCCTCAGGTTACTTCTCAAATCCGGTACCATCACTCTAAGATAGATCGCGTTGCTTCTCAGTGGCTGGATGGTCGATATGGTAGAGGTGTCGGCCGGTGGGAGGAAGAACTGGGTTCGATTCCCAGTTGGGTGAATCTTTTCCTCAGTTTACTTCTCAACCCCGGTACCATCACTCTAAGATAGTCCGTGTCGGACAGGTGTGTTGTCGTAGCTCAGGTGGCAGAGCGATGGGCCGTGGAGGCTGGTTGGAGGCCATGCGGCAGCACATGTTTCCCGTTGGACCTGGTTCGCTACCAGCCAGGTCAGGTTACTAACCCTTTATGATTGCCCCTACTCCCCTCTCCTTCTGGGAGGGGGGGTAGGGGGGGTGGGAGCCGACGGCGGGAACTCTTTTGCATCCTAGAGGTGATATACAGAGAGCAACGCCACCAAGATAGACCACCCATTTGCCACGCCTGGGGTGGAGGCTGACGGCAGGAACTCTCTTTTGCACTTGAACTCTCTTTAACAGCCAAGATTGTTTGGAAGATATCTGGCCTTTAATTCAGTGTATGAGCCGCGCCGTCAAGGTAGGCCACCCATCTGACACGCTGCTGCAAAAGCAGCACCGCGGCGGAAAACATAAGCCATACTCTTAGCCGGGATTTGAACCCGAGTGCTTCTCTCTACGACCGACACCTCAGCCCTCTGAGCCACCGAGGCTCTCCTTAATGTGAACCAGTCTGAACTTGGGCTAATTGTACCGCATTCATGCAGTCAACTGAGAAAAATGTTTCGGTACCCGGGATTCGAATCAAAGTCTCTCAGCGCGAACACCTCCTCTGCGCTCCCAGCCACCGAGACGATGAAAATTCGCTCGCCAATCTTGGAAGTAATGGCAAGTTACCGGATTCGAGGTTCAACAGAGGAAAACATTTCTATACCTGGGATTTGAACCGAACTCCTGCGCCACCAAATCACCCGGTGTGTCTCCGCCCAAACTCAGACCCATGGTTACCTGATTCTTCGGGTTCGTGAAGTGAGGTGAACTGAGAGTTTGGGAACCAAACTCATGAAAAGATTTGGGCGACGCTCTTGCCGACCAAGCCACCGGTTAGTGATGTTCCATGTGACCGTTCGACCGACCGTGTGCGACGGACCGACCCGCCCCCGCAGTGGCCAGTGGGTCAGACGACCGCGTGGAGGCGGTCAAAATCCCGGACGCGTTTTGAGCTCCAGAGTCGCTAAATGGGACTCGAACCGAACGTGTGACCCCACCAATGGATTGCTCTCCGAACGAGGAGTCCATTGGTGGGGCCACACGTTCGGTTCAAGTCCTGTTTCGCGGCTCTGAAGCTCGAAACGCGTCAAGAGTTTTTGCCGCCTGGCCCGCTGTGCGCCGCGACGCACCTTGACGCTGTCGGTGCTGTAGCTGCCCAGCTCCAGGAAGCGGCACAAGACTATGGCCTCGTCCATGGCGTCCAGGAAGATGTGGCCGCGCATGATGTACACTGCGTTGGCGTTGGCGCACGAGACCACGCCGATGAAGAGGCACAGCGGCTCGCTGAAGTCCGCGGACGTCATGATGTCCCAGAAGTAGAGCAGAGCGAGCCCAACGGTGGACAGCAGTGCCGTCTACCGAGAACGCCACGCATCATGCACACACGGCCAAGACGCGGATCTCTCCGCCCGCGGCTTAGGCAACCCATCGTACCCAGATAGTTCCATTCCAGTTTTTCGCAGGAAAAACACTGTTTCGGGCCAAAATGATCCTCTAAATAGTGTCAGGAGTCTTGCGGAAGTGCTCCAGCATAACATACTCAAGTTTGAGCCAATTTAAATTTTTTGCCCAAAACGTGAAAAAACCTATAGCTTTTTTTTTTCGACAAAAATGGTCGACCACCTCCGATTTGTCTGAAATCCATATCCAACCTTCTTATGGCTCTTAGAAACAGATACCCGTTGCCCAATCGTCTTTGACGCATTCTATTTGGTGTGAAAATGACTTTTCCCGTGACAATAGTTGATCTGTGGAGTGGTGCGAAGGATGGGTTGCCTACCTATCCGGCGCAGGCTCAAAAACTTCCAGGTTTTTTTTTCGCTAGGATGGGTCTTTTGGAGCAACGACACTGACCGTGGACGCGAAGAGGTGGCGGCGCAGGCGGCGCAGCAGCCCGGGGGCGTCGACCAGCATGTCGCGGCGCAGACGCGCCAGCATGGCCGTGAGCGGGCCGTCGCCGTCGCCGCCGGCCTCGGTCTCCACCGGGACGGCCGGGACGTCCTTCATGGCGGCGCTGGACAGCAGTGCCGGCGAGTCCGGCGGCGTGCTGGCCGTGGAGTCTTGCCCCGCCGCGCCGTTCACAACCCCATTAATGAGTAACCGCGAAAGACATCACCGAGTCCAAGCCCGCGGCGCGCATGGTAGTGTTCCGGATTGGGTGGGCGGTCAAAACCCGATGACTCCAGAGCGACTCTAGAGCTCGGCCGGTGTATGCAGTGCCACCCGCAGGCACTGCCGACGGGCTAGCTTAGGCCCTACGCAAGCCTGCTGACAGTGTCTGTTGGCGGCATTGCATACACCGGCCGAGTTCTAGAGACGCTCTGGAGTCATCGGGTTTTGACCGCCCACCCAATCCGGAACACTAGCGCATGGGTGCGGCATGCAGAATGAAACAGCCCCATGCACGCACAGCGCGTCGCCCCGTCTCCCCTGTCCCAAGGCCCCTCCTCCCTCGGTGTCGTGATCGCAAGCCAGTCGCGGGACGCGTGTCTCAGGAAGCAGAAAGCGTCCGTAACTCGATACACTGTATACCGCACTTCCGGACTCGAGGGCGGGGAGGGTTGCAAGCATGGGGGAACTTGATCCAAGTTCGTGTGGGGCGCCTTTGCGACCTGTGCTTGTGACTCTCGTCGAAACACCAGGAAACTGAGAAACTTGTGGAATGGTCTGTCGTTGAGTCAGGTTGAGTCACCGCGTGTCATCGTCACTCCGTTTCATCGTCACCCTGTGCCATCGTTGCCACTGTCTTCCAGCCAGCCTTTTCCGTGTATCATGCAGGCACTGCGATCGTGATGCGATGCCACAGTCACAGCTTTTCGAGTGGTGTGGTGGCGTTCCCGGCAGGGCCTTCCCCGACTCCTTGCCGTCGTCTCTTCTAGGTTTGGCCGAGGTGCCCGGGCACAGCCAGCAGCATGATCTTTGCCGTGCCGGTGCTGGTGAATACCCCGCGCGCGGTTCGCTCGAGGAAGCCTCGCGCGCGGGGTAGCGACTGCTCGTTTCTGTTGCCAGTGAGCAGGTTTGCCGGCCGTGGTTTTCTCGGCGCGCGCCTTCGCATCCCCCCGACGCAGCGCTACCCCGCGTGCGAGTGCCCTTCCCGGACCGCCCCGCCGCGCGCAGGCGTGGGGTATCGCCGTTTCTTGCCGCGCCGCACTGGTTGGCGGTTCGGTGAGTTCGGCTCGTCGCCTGGTCGGTCCTTCGCGGCTCTCGAAGGACACCGCGAGGCGACACGCGACGCACGCGAAGCACCTCCGGCTTTTTGCCGGCGTCCCTTTCGGCCTCTCGACGCCTCGCCTGGCGCCGCGACGCCGTGGCGACGCCGGGCGTCTAATGGCTTGTCTTTCCTTCCCGCCCAGCTACGCCCAGCGGCCCAGCGCGCCTAGTGCGAACGGGGCGACAGGCGAGCCGTCGTCCATCACCGCGGCCACCGCGACGCCGCGCCGAGCAGCAACCTGTGTGGGAGGACGAGCGCACAGTGTCAGAGGAGGAATTGACGGGCTGAGAGTGGTTCCTATCGTGGTGTTCAAGCAGTGTAGGGTTGCCTATCTCTCCGGCGCCAGCTGCTGGAGTTTCTCTGTTCAGAATTTGATGATTTTCTTTTCATCCTACGACACCTCTGCTGCTATGAGGATGGTTGTGGTGTTCTTGTTCTGCCGCAACTTTGAGAGCTCACTCGCGGGAGTCTCTGAACGGACTGCGTGGGCTGCCGGGGCTATTCCTGGGTGCTGCGGGCGTCCCGGCGCGTCGCCGCGAGCCTGGAGGGCGTCCTCGCGAATGTCAGCTGTCAATAATTACAATCAATTAGTAGCGTTTTTTGCCGCGGCTCCCGAGATGAAGCCTCGAACCCTCCAAGGAGCAGTGCCGGCGTCTCCCTGCCGGAGGCGGCAAAAAAGGCGATGACGCGCTGAAGGCGTCCGATCCGCGCCGCCCGAGACGGCAGCACGGCGGCACGGCGACACGGCGGCACGCGCAGTGCGCTGCGAGACCACGACCACGACGTGCTGCTCGGCGAGGTGCTCGGCGAGGTGCTCGGCGAGGAGGCGCCCCTGGCCGACATGAAGGCGGTCTTCGCGCTGCTGCTGCTCGCGGCGGCGGCCTCCGCCATCCTGCGGAAGCCCAAGTCCGCCACCAGCAAGGTCCCCGCCGAGGCCTGGCTCACCACGGTAAGGGCCTAGGGCGCCAAGGTACAGTGGACCAGAAGACCGGAGGAGGCGGTCAAAATCCCGGACGCGTTTTTAGCTCTAGAGTCGCTACATGGGACTCGAACCGAACGAGTGACCCCACCGATGGGTTGTTCTTCGAAAGAGGAATCTATCGGTGGGGTCACCACCGAGTTCTGATCGGCGAGTCTGGAGCTGGCCCACTGTGGGAGGTTCGGTGGGTTCGTCCGACCGGGCAGCGTGACGGTGTTCTTGTTGCAGCCCGAGCTGGTGGCGCGGTGGGGCTACCCCGTCGAGACGCACACCGTCCACACCGACGACGGCTACCTCATCGACGTGCACCGCATCACGGGGCCGCGGCTTGGCGGCGACAAGAGGGACACTCCGTCGGGGTCCAAGGCGGGGCCGCAGGGGCCGCAGGGCCGGACGCCGGTACTGCTGATGCACGGCTTCGGCGCCACCAGCGAGTGCTGGGTGCTGCGGCAGAACGACAACCTGGGTACGGCCCTGGTCCGCTCGACTGCCAGGCGCGAGCCCTGTCCTTTGCACTCCCTGACCGCCTCACCCTTCTCCACAGCCTTCATGCTGGCGGACGCGCAGTACGACGTCTGGCTCGGCAACTTCCGCGGCAACTTCTACGGCCGCAGACACATGACGCTCCGGCCCAGCGACTCGCGCTTCTGGAATTTCGGGTAAGAGGGCAGGCTAAGGGAACATCCCCACTTCCATGACGTAACCCTGCAGCATGTGCGAACTGTCGGCGCGCTGGCAGCTGGCACGAGAACGGCGTCCTGGACGTGGCCGCCATGGTGGACTACGTGCTGATGGAGACGCAGCGGGCCTCCATCCTCTACATCGGCCACTCCATGGGGTCCACGTCGGCGCTGGTGCTGCTGTCCGAGCGGCCCGAGTACAACGCCAAGCTGGGCGCCGCCTTCCTGCTCACGCCCGCCGTCTACTTCCAGCACGTCCGCGGCGGCTTCAGCGCCATCAGGAAGAACATGCCCTGGGGATACGTAAGGCCGGCCTGCATTTCTTGCCACTTGTGTCAAATCCTGAGTAGACTGACGGAGACCGCTGCGTCGCGCACTGCGTCGCGCAGCACTCTCTGGCGCAGTTCCGGCTGGAGAACTTCCTGACCCGGCGGCCCCTCCCGGACATGTGCATGCCCCCCAACAGCAACGCCGTCTCCGCCACCTGCTGGAGGCTCATGGAGGACGCGCAGGGCCCCTTCCACTCGGTCGTCAACAACGTGAGACTTTCCAACGATTTCAATGACATCGCTGCAAATTTGCAAAAGGATTCTAAAGTTTTTTGTTGCTTTTCGTGTTTCATAAAAATTTCAGACGTATATGCCAATTCTGTTGCGACACTGGCCCGCCGGGACTTCCCTCGGTCAAGCAATCCACTTCGGCCAGCTGATAGTTCGAGGTCCGTTGAGGAAATGGGGTAACTCCCAGACAGTAAGAACGAACTAAATGAGCTTTGTCTCGCTTTCAGGTGATGGATTTTACAAATATGACTTCGGGGCAGAGAGAAACCTTGCAAAATATGGAACAATTTATCCGCCAGCGTATAATTTGACTAACGTGCAGGCCCCCATTTTCATGTATTATTGTAAAAACGACTACCAGGCACATTACAAGGCAAGGTTTATCCTACAGATCTACCCTATTGCGGTTTTAACGAAAAATAGTAACGTCACACCAATTCTTTTTTGCCACAGGACGTGAGGAAGTTGGCTGCTGACATCCCAAGCCTAGCAGGTCTCTACGAGACACCAGCGGAGATATTTAATCACATAGACATTGTATACGAAGAGGATGCAGCCGAGTTAGTGTACAAAAGACTGATTGACCACATGACGAAATACAGATAAATATAGTAAAGACCAACCGTCCATGTTTTTCCCCCTTAAGGCCAGGGACAGGTGAAAAAATGATCTCAGAAACTGCTGGTCCAAAACTTCTTATTTTCTGTCAAAATCTTACTCCTGATGAAAAACTATTTCACCCAAAATCCCATCCCATAATATCAAGCGGTTCCTGAGATACAGGCTTTTTCATAATTTTGTAAGTGTTTGTTAAAAAATTCCTGTGCGTTTCCCATTTTGGTTTATTGACCTGACCGACATATTTTTTTGTTCGTCTAAGTCCAAAGAACAAACGCAAGTGACAAATTTTAGTTTCCGGCACTGATAGCAAAATACCAAATTTTCAACGTTGACATTTTTCAAAAACCAAAGATTTTCCCTTTTTTTGTAAAAACCAATATCCAAAACCATGCTTCTGGGTGGAATATACAAATACTGTCACTTGCGTTTCCTCGCAATAACCTACTGAGTCAGTGGAAAAAATATCATTGACGACACTTCAAACTGTATGCGCACAGGACCATTCAAATGTTAAAAAAATGTCTTCGGAGAAAAGGGCGTTTAAAGTTTGGTGACAGATTTTGATGGATTTTCAGCCAAAAAAATCTCCTTGCGCATACTATTTTGTCGTAAAAGGTTGACCTGGAAATTTTTCACTTCTTCGATTCATTTTTAAAAGATACCAGCATGCACAACTGAAAATGTCCAATACATTATCATTGGCAAGCTTCTTAAGCATGCATTTCACTTAAATTGATCAACAATGTACAAAATAGACAAGTTTTAGTGACTTCTTAGATGAAAAGAGCATGTGATTACTAATATAATGGAAATTTTGAACTAGGCATGCTGGAATCTTTTTAAAATGAATCGAAGAAGTGCAAAATGTCAAGATGAGCCTTTAACGTCAAAATAGTATGCGCAAGAGGATTTTTTAAGATATGGCTAAATGAAGTCAAATCAGTCCAAAAAAGACAATTCGTCTGGGTTCAAGACCTGGCATATGCCTTCAAACATCAGACCTTAGTCTCTTCATGAGCTCATGGTCTCTTTGAAGTATGATTTCATATTCCCAACAAATTATGACAGTGGGGTTCATTTTGAAAATGGCAAGATTATCACCAGAACCTCCCCTTGATGGCAAAACGGACAATTTTACTAAAATGTCGGAAATGCAGGAGTGTGCGAAAAGATGTATTTTAAGCACTTCCAGGTCCCGAATAGTCGAAGTCCCGACAGATCCTGAAAGAGGAAGGTCCAAAGGACCATTTTCCACCCAGAACTCATTTCATTAAATTTCACCAAACTTCTTCATTTTTTCACCTGTCCCTGGCCTTAACAAGAACATATAAGTCCTAGGAGGGAGCCCAGGGGTGCTGTTGCAACCGGCGCCCAAGAGGTAGGCAACTCAATTTACGCGCTTGGTAAAAGTCGTCTTCCCCTGTATCCCAGAATCCACATAAAGAAATGCTTAAGAGTAAATTTAGATACATTTTATTTTACATTAAATGAGTAAGCAAACGGAATGGATTGCTAACTTCTAGTAACAGAGGCAGAATATCATGCTGGTGGAAAACAATTAAATGTACATTATTGTAGAGAGCTATATAAAAAAGAATGGCATAGTTGACAGTGTGTCAACCTAACACACATCTGAGAGTACAAATTATTTTTGCAGCATGTGAAGGAATACTAATTGACATCTAGATGTACGGGGATCACAGCTTGATATTCCACAAATTTGTGGTAACAACCTTTGACACATTCAACATTCACTAGATTTCTAAAAATTATGCAACAATTTTTAAGAACTTAATTTATAAGACACCTAAATGTAGTGTAGTCGTCTGAACATGTATAAGGAGATCTTCCCGCGAAAATAAGGCAATATTCCTCTTTCTAGGTTTACATAAATGGCTTCTGTAGACAGATAGGGAGGCAATCAGAAATATTCTTTTTGGATTATGCACAAGCTAGTGTCACTCTTCCATTCTAACTTTTTAATAATTTATTTTCTTTCTTGAAAACGCTTGTTGCTTTGTATTGGTGCACAATTTAAAATCCAGAGCTACACATACACAGGAAGACAAAAGAAAAATTTACACAAACTATAATAAATATAAAAATAATCTCTTAAGTAGTTAAGCTTATGAATAACACCTTTAGTATTGCATTCTTGTACAGAATATAGTATACAATTGACCTTGACATGTATGGCAACTTAAAGCACTCAACAGATTTGACATAGGTTGCATGTGCTGTATTTTAAACGACTTGATTCCCTGAACCTTCTTCTTGAACCAACGGTCAAAAATTATGCCTCACCTACAAGAGATTCTTTGTTGTGAGGTGCCCTCGGCCAAGCTCAATTCGCAGCCCTGTTACTTCCAGAGCCGACCGACAACTGCGTGTATCAGTCATTTTCAGTCACAAAGTTCATTCCATCACAAAGCTCAAATCGGGCGAAAGCCGCAGGTGCGGGGAGGGGAGGGGGTCACTTACACATGTTATCTTCGTTGTAAGTAATCGGATTAAAGCAGATGATTCACTTCCTGCCTTACCGTTTTTTGTCAGTTTCAGTCTGAGAGTTCACTTGACGAAAACGTGATGTGCGAGTGGAGGCCACAGGCTTCGCAACACCACTGCAGGCGGAATCACTTGGAGTCATTCCATCCGGGTGACGGGCTTCTGGGTGGACTTCCACCCAGCCCTCTTTCGGACATCAGAAGTACACGGTGAGGTTCATGTGGTCGGTGTTGCCGTCCTGGTTCTGTCCGCCCAGTGGCGTCACACTCACTTCCGGGTCCAGCTCGGGCTGCCAAGGGGAAACCACGGATTAATACCAAGATTTAAGCGGAATCAAGCTCGATCAGTCAGTAGGCCCAAGCAACGCACCTTGTTGTCGTCATCGTCGTCCCAGCTGAGTTTCTTGACCCTCCGCGGGATGGAGCCCAGCGGCCAGCTGACGCCGCTCGAGACGGCGTCCACGTTGGAGGCCTTGGACACGCTGCCCGGCACCTGGGGCGGCGCGGGCGCCACCTTGCGCTTGGCCTGCGACAGCGGGTTGCTGCACTGGTGGCCGCCCGTGCCGCCGCCGCCGCCGTGGTGGTGGTGATGATGGTGGTGGTGGTGGCCGGGGGGCCGCCGCTGGCTCGCCCGGCCCGCCGCGTTCCGCGCCATGATGCCTGCAAAAGACCCTGCGCGTCAAGGGGGTCAGTCCCCGGCGGTTCAGAGGGTACAGAAGGTAGGCCAGGCCGTGCGTCTGCTTACTCTTGACGGTGGCGGTGTAGCGCGGCGTCTTGCCGTCGCTGAAGGTGGACGTCTCGGTGTGCAGGTTGTTGGTGCAGGAGGGCGCGTGCGTGTCGCTGTTGTTGTCGTGGTCCGTGCCGTCGTCCGACGCGGGCGGCAGCTTCTCGTGCTGGATGTTGGGCGTCATCAGCCCGCCCATCTTGTTGGAGGAGGCGCGGCCCGACCCGGGCGGGGTCCCCGTCGACTTGGGCCGCTTGCTGCAGGAGGACGGCACAACGTCAAGCACACACTCAGCCAGGAAAGAGTCAGGGCGGACGTGAGACGACTCACTTTTTGTAAATGTAGAAGACCAGGGCGACGATGACGATGCCGAGCACGCCGAGGACGGCGCCGAACACCGCCATGACCAGGACCCCCGTGCTGCCCGTGGCGAACACGCTGGAGCGCACCAGGGCCTCGGGGAGGTGCACGATGACGGGCGCGCTGGCCTGCCTCGGCGGGATGCCCGTGTCCGTCGCCACGGCCACCAAGTGCACCGTGCTCGTGTTGGCCAGGCTGGGGTCCAGCAGCACGATCTCGCCGTTCGGGGTGATCTCGAACATCCTGCGAGGCAAGTGCGTGAAGAGAATGATTACAGTGGATGCACTTACTTGGTTCCGGCCGCTGGCGACGCTACACGTACTTGGCGCCCGGGCCGCGCAGCTCCAGGCTGATGGTGTCGCCGCGGTCGCCGTCGGCCACCTCGACGCGGCCCACCACCAGCCCCAGGGGGTTGGTGTTGGGCACGGTGGGGCCGGCCGCCAACTCGGGCACGAAGAACTCGTACTGCGGGAACCGGAACCGCGGGTCCCAGTCGTTGACGTTCAGCACCGAGATGTTGACCAGCGCCGTCGTGTTCTGCTGAACGGCCAGTGTCAGCACAGAGTCAAGTCAATGCTCCCGAAAAAAAATTGTTTTTGTTGTTTTCGCTGAACTCACCATGCGGCCGTCGGTGGCGTGCACGTGGAACAGGTACAGGTCCTCCGTCTCGTAGTCCAGCGCCTGCAGCAGGATGATGTCGCCGTGCCCCGTCACGCCGAACCGCCCGGACACCTCGCGCTGCTCCAGCCAGAACCGCAGACGCTGGTCGCGGAGGCAAAAAAACGGTGAGGCATTGCAAACCATCATTCATTCGTCGCTGTGACTCCGAGGCGAGATGCATCTTCTAGACCCGTATTGACATTGACACCTTGTTCTGGCGCGATAAGGATAAGCGCTGTGCAACCACACATGGAAATGCACGCAAAACCTCGATTGCAAAACTCCAGCAGCTTAAGATAAAGTAGTACTATCTCGCAAAAAGTATAGACGGATCAACAAACCGAAAACGCCGCCTTTTGTTCTATGTAATCATCAAAAACAACAATAACGAAGGAGAAATAAAAAGAGGCTGCCGGTATTTGAACCCGGGACGGTCCGCACCTTGTCGCGCGGCTTGTTGGTGACGGCCGTGATGAGCACGCTGTGGAGCGGCACGTTCTCCAGGACGCCGGCGTAGTAGGCGCTCTGGAGGAACTGGAGGTCCCGCAGGGAAGTCCCGGGCCGAGACACGGTCAGGGTGGCCAGCGCGTACCGGTCAGGGTTATCGTGCTGGCTCGCCTGCGAATAGGAAAATAACGCGAATGAAACAAAAAGGCCCCGACCTTCCTCCGGGACTCACAGTGGACTCACTCGCGCGCAGCCGCGCGCAAGCGGAAGCTGCCCAAAAAGAGACGAGTGGAACAACAAGAAGACTTACCCGGACCACGAGTGTGGCCGGCTGCAGCATGTCGTCGTCCGGGATGCTCCTTTTGACCGTCAGGTGGCCCGAGGTGGGGTCAATGTCGAAGTACCGGTAGTCCGAGCCGCCGGCTGCAGGGAGAGGAAAAAGTTCCACTGTCGGTCATTGTCCGGCTCCCCGATCACCCAAGCCTTGCCGCACTTAGTTCGCCAAAGGAAAGGTTTGTCATCACTTTATGGAAATTTCCAGACTTCTTCTAACGTGAAACATCAAAACTTCAGATGCAGCCAAAAATTTGCTCGGTCGAAAACAGAATTTTAAATAGCAGCTGAATGGCATTGACTGGCACACTTCCTCAAAATACAAACACTGACCCGAGTTGAAGGAGTACACGACGGCCGAGTTGATGCCCACGTCCTGGTCGTACGCGGCGATCTCCCTGGGCTGGACGCGCAGTCGCGTTCCCTGGAAAGGAGAGAGAGAAGTGAGTCATTGCTGCATCGCCGCGGCGCGTCGCTGGATCGAGCGGTCCAGGTCCTCGACGAGGCGGCCGCGGCACTCAAGCTGTTTGCCAAAGTCGGGCTTGCCTAACTTTGGCGTTCGGCGAGGCAAGGTTAGCGCGCACCAACATCAACAAGGCTACGGCCGGGCAGGCCTGGGCTGCCGTCGGTGTTTGGCTGCTTTCGGGAGTCCGCGGTGGTGTGCACAGTGCTGCACTCCAAGTACCCGCCTCGTGAGCGCGACCCAAAAGCACAATTGTTCAAATTTCGCGCTAAGTCCGAACGCGCGTGCCGCCGCCGAGGACGTCGCCGAGGACGTCGCCGAGGCCCATCTGGGCGGCGTTTACATCGAGCACGCGACACTATTCGACTCGCACGACCCGTCCAATGCGTGGTGTTTACGTGATAGCGGGTCGGCGTGGGCCTGGGCGGCGTGGGCGGCCTAGGCCTGCTGCACATGTGGCGCTCAACCTGCTGATCCGCGCGTTTGCGCGTCCGCGCTGCACGGGGCGGCCGGGCCGGGCCGGGCGACAAGGTCAAGAAGGGAGGGGGCGATAACGCGGCGCGGCGGCCCGGACTAGACGGCCGGCAGACGGACGCGCGCACTGCCACCGCGAGCACCGCGACGACAGCACCATGGCGGTCGTCACCACCAGGACCCTGCAGCAGCTCTTCGCCGTGGCCGTGCTCGCCGTGCTGGCCGTGGGCCGAGGCCGCGCCGCCGCGCCCGCCGCCAGGCCCAACATCGTCCTCATGATCGCCGACGACTTGGTGAGTTCCACGCCTTTTCCAACTTGCCTGCTAATTAGCTAAAGTGCGGACAGAGGACCGTCCGCCACTTGAGTTTTATCTGACGCCAAGCTCCGCTGGTCCCCCGCAGGGCTACAACGACGTGAGCTTCCGCGGCTCCAACCAGATCCAGACGCCCAACATCGACGCGCTGGCCTACAGCGGCGTGGTGCTCAACCACCACTACGTGCTGCCCACCTGCACGCCGTCGCGCACCGCCATCCTCACGGGGCAGTACCCCATCCGCACGGGTGAGGGTTCAAAACACCGACCGACATTTCTTTTTCGGGCGAGTCCGATGATGATGATGGTCATGATGATGGTGACGCGTGCGGTGACGCGCTGACCTGCATGGCGGTGCCTTGCACCTGGACGGTGACGTCATCGGCGGGGAAGTACCCCTGGAGTGCGTCAGGGGCGTCCCGTCGACGTCACGCCGCCGGCGGCGCGGCTGTCAACCCGGTCTGTCCGCACGCAACGACTTTCCGCCAATTACCTCCAAACGTGTTCAGGTTCAGAGTGAGCAGTTCGGACTAGTTAGTTGGTGGACGGTGGCGAGTAGTGGACACGCCGAGTAGCGCACAGCACAACGCCCACCGAAGGCGAAGGCTGGCTGGCGGAAGCGCTTGGCGCAGCCTGGCGATAATGCGCCCGCTTTCCGCGAGCTTCATCTCGAGGACCTTGGTGCCAATCGCAACCTAGACCTAGTGCCTGCCAGTGATGCACGGCGCACGCCGGGTGCAAGGTGACGCGCTGAGGAGCTCGTGTGGGCGTGGGAGTCGCGCCACGCCGCCGCGCCGTTCCGGCTGTCGATTTGACTTTGCCCCGCTTCCTCTGCTCACGCGCTGCCCCGCTGCTCCGCTTCGCAGGCATGCAGGGCTACCCGCTCAAGGCGGGCGAGGCGCGCGGGCTGCCTCTCAAGTTCCGCACGCTGCCCGAGCGGCTGGCCGCGCTGGGCTACCGCACCAACCTGGTGGGCAAGTGGCACCAGGGCTTCCACTACGCGGACTACACGCCCACGCGCAGGGGCTTCCACCACCACCTGGGCTACTGGAACGGCTACATGAGCTACTTCAGTCACGTGGTGCACATGGACTCGCCGCACGGCCTGGAGGAGGTAAGTACGTCGGCGTCCTCTGGTGGGCGAAACTATTGACTTATTGATGGGTCGAAAGTATTGACGCGTTTAGAGCTCCAGAGTCGCTGAATGGGCCTCGAGCCAAACGTGTGACCCCACCAATGGATTCCTCGTTCGGAGAGCAATCCATTGGTGGGGTCACACGTTCGAGTCCCATGTAGCGACTCTGGAGCGCAAAACTCGTCCGGGATTTTGACCGCCTCCACCGGTCTTCTGGGCCACTGTTCACCGCTCCGCTTGCCTTCGCAGGGCCGCTTCGGCTACGACCTGCACTGGAACGAGAAGCCGGCGCGCCACTACCAGGGCCGCTACGCCACGCACCTGTTCACGGAGCGCGCCGAGAACATCATCCGCGACCACGAGCCGGCCGACGGGCCGCTGTACCTGCAGCTGGCGCACCTGGCGGCGCACGCCGGCCTCAACGGCACCGAGCTCGAGGTGCCCGACGAGGCCGCCAACGACCGCCGGCACGGCTACATCCAGGACAGCCACCGTCGCCACCTCGCGGGTGAGTGGCGGCCCGCCGCTCGCAGAATGTCGGCAGCGAGACAGCAACTGAGTGGCCCTGGTCCCCTGTTCCAGGCGTGATCCGCGAGATGGACCTCTCCGTCGGGCGGGTGGTGCGCGCGCTGGAGCAGCGCGGCATGCTCAACAACACCATCATCGTCCTGATGGCGGACAACGGCGGGGAGACCCTTGGCATCCACAGCAACCACGCCTCCAACTGGCCGCTCAGAGGGGTGAGCTCCGCAGGCAGTCTTCAGCCGCACTCTCATAGCGTGAGTCAAAACCTCACTATTCTCTTTTACTTCACAGCAAAAGTGGACGTTGTTCGAAGGCGGCGTTCGCGGCGCGGCCGTCGTGTGGAGCCCCAAGCTGGCCAAGCCGGGCAGCATCCACGAGGGCATGGTGCACGTCACGGACTGGCTGCCGACGTTCTACCAGGCTGCCGGTGAGTGCGGCGCGGACACACTGCAGGACGGAAGGCGCACGCGGATCGTGGTTTTGAGCGCAGCCCGATTCCTTGCGCAGGCGGCGACCTGGACGACCTCGGCAAGATTGACGGCATCAGCCAGTGGGACAGCCTGACGCAGCCCGCGGCGCGCTTCCCCCGCAACGAGGTGCTCGTCAACATCGACGAGGGCGCCGCCCTCATCCAGGGCGACTTGAAGCTGGTCAAGGGTGAGTCCATCCCCCGCCGCACAGTGGGCCAGACGGGTCACAAGACCGGCGCAGGCCAAAATTCTAGACGCGTTTTGAGCTCCAGAGTCGCTAAACAAACTCGAACAGGACGTGGATTGCTCTTCGAACGAGGAATCCATTGGTGGGGTCATACGTCCGGGAGTCCTATTTAGCGACTGTGGAGCTCAAAACGCGCCTAGAATTTTGGCCACCTTCCGCCGGTCTGGCCCACTTGCGCGCCGCCTTGTATTCCGTGGCGGCCTTTCGCTCACCGTGTCGCTGCCGTGCCCACAGGCGAGCAGTACCGGGACCTCAGCGGCTACCTCGGCGTGGCGGGCCGCGAGGCGGTCAACCCCGCGTACGACGTGGACGCCGTGCTGCAGAGCGAGGCCGCGGCGGCGCTGGGCTCGTGCACGCCGCCGCTGACGGCCGCGCTGGTGCGCCGCTTGAGGGCGGAGGCGAGCGCGCCGCGGCTGGGCGTGGAGGCGGAGGCGTGCCGGGAGGGCGGCGCGGCGCTCAACCTCACCTGCTCGCCGTACTGCCTGTTCGACCTGCGCGCCGACCCCTGCGAGGCCCGCGACGTGCGCGCGCTGCACCGCGGCCAGGGCGACCTCATGCTGCGCCGCCTGGCCGAGTGGGAGGCGCTCACCGTGCCGCAGCTCAACAAGGACGTGGACGAGGCGGCCGACCCGCGGCGCCACAACATGACCTGGGTGTCCTGGATGGACAGGTCCTCGTCGGCCAGGCCGCTGCCCGCCCTGCTCGCCGCCCTGCTCATCCCCGTGCTGGCGGGCGCCCGCGCGGCGTAGTGCTTTACCTGGGCGGCGCGGTCCGGCAGGATGGCGGAGTACCGCTCGTCGTAGAAGCGAGGGTTCTGGTCGTCCGCGTCCACCACCTGCACGTACAGCGTCGTGTCCGAGAACTGCGGCGGCGTCCCTTGGTCCTGCGAGCAGATTGCCGTTGGTTGAGAACAGAAAGTGCCATCGGAGCCATCCCAAGACGTCTGTCCCGGTGGTTTACCTGAGCTCGGAGGTTGACCGTGAAGTTGGACAGGGTCTCGTAGTCCAGCGGCTTCCTCAGCGCGAGCGTGCCTTCCAGGGCGTTGACGAACATGAAGTAGTCCTAGAAAACGAAGGGTCAAATCAGCGGCAGTATTCCCACTTTTCGAATTGCGGGGCTAGTCCTCTAAGGCTACCTTCCCTAAGGGCTAACCCCTCCCGGAGGGCTACCGGTACCTCAAGGATCTCCTTCTTGCTGTTGACGAAGACAGGCTGCGTGGAAAATACGTGCCAGAAATGAGATGCAGACACAGCAAACACACACTCGCACCACAGCCGGGGCAATAAAGACTCCGCCTATCTCGATAGCCGTGTTTGTGATAAGCCCCTGGGGATTCGCCCTCCCCGCTTTGACGAGGCGGCCACGCACTGTCTGCGTTCCCAGGGGGAAAAAAAGGGAGATTATTTTTTCTCACGGCAACACTCATTTCATTGGAAACGAATGGCGACAGGCAATCTAGTCATCCCGCTTGAGGAGTGGGCAGCTCCCCGACCATCGTACATTCTTAAACATTTTGCCATGAGGTAAATGCCAATCCGAACAAATCAAAGGACCTGCCTTCTCCTTGCCCTTGTCCACAAATCATCAATCGTGTAAATAATCGCCTAAATGTCATTGTAAATAACTGTGAATAGCTGTGAATAAGCGCCAGTGAATCGAAGTAAATAGAAATTTATTTTTTTCCCCTTGCGGTTCTCTGACCTGACCTTAAACCTGCTTCACTCACCGCGTTGGGCCCGGGCAGCACGGAGTACTGCACGGTGGAGTACGGGCCGGGCTGGTCCACGTCCACGGCGCGCACGCCCTGCAGCACGCGCGTGCCCACCACGGTCACCTGGAACACGAAGATGGAGGTGGGTCACGACGGCGGTGCGATGGGTGGCCTGCCCACCAGGCGCTTCGACTTAGAGCAGCGCCAGGAGAGCACGATGGGTGGTCTGCCCACCAGGCGCTTCGACTTAGAGCAGCGCCAGGAGAGCACGATGGGTGGCCTGCCCACCAGGCGCTTCGACTTAGAGCAGCGCCAGGAGAGCCTGCCCACCAGGCGCTAATGTATGGCATGCAGGCAGGTCAGTGTAACTAGCTCACCTCGGAGATGTTGAGCACGTAGGGAGCGTTGACGAACTGCGGAGCGTTGTCGTTGGCATCGGTAACTCTAATGTTGACCGGGATTGAAATGCCCTGCAAGCACAAAGATATGTCACGAAATGGCCGTCGACGCGTCGGCAACAAAACACTGCGAGTTCGCTCACCGGGTCGGCGGTGCGTTTCCTATCACAGATGATGCTGATGTACACGGACGAGGGTCCCTCCACGCCCTCCTTGTCCAGCCTGCGCATCAGGGTGAGGTTCTTGCTGCCGGGGGACACGCGCACGGGGCTGTCCGTCTCCTGGAGGCGCAGCGAGATGTCCCCCTGGGGCTCGCTGGGGTCGCCCAGCACGGACAGCACGCCTGCAGACAACAACAACAGTGAGAAACGACGAGGCAAATATTGAAGCTCTGGACATTCGGCGCCACGCATTCGTCTGTCTGTCTGTCTGTCTGCCGGCCAATCAGCCTCGGGCTTGCCACCGCGGCTCGCCCGGAGGGACGCCGCCCAGTGAAAGGAAAAGCGTCGCGACGCCTTTTCGAGGCCTGGAACGCAAACATGACTGGGCGTCGCGACACACACACACACACACACACACACACACACACACACACACGCGCGCGCGTTGTCGTTATGATTGCGCAATGTGCGAAGGAGCGGCAAATCGCAAAGCGCGCGAGCACTCACACACACAACACACACACACAATCACTCACGCACACACTCCCACGCGTCCCTTCCCCTTCTGGATGCGCGGCACTGCTTTCCTCAGGGACAATCGAGGCGCCACCACTGTGCCACACACAACAATAATGATGATGATAATAATGGACACACACACACACAGAGCCGCGCGTCGCGTCATGGGGACGGACAATATGTGTTGAGAGCGCCGAGGAGTGAAGGAGGAGTGAAGGAGGTGGAGAGGGAAAAGTGAAGTGACAAACATCCGTGGCTCGTCTCTGCTGGCTGGACCCGGACCAGGACGTCTCCTTCTCTTCATTACGCGCTCACAAAAATTGAAAATGCACACAGAAACATTTGGAAAGAAATGATGACAACCGGGGGGGACCCGGCCGCGGGTGTGTCTCACGGTCGTAATCTCCGTCTGGCTTTGCCCCGCATTACATGCGAGTCGAGCATCGTACAACGCACACGATGGGCAAGTAAGAGTGTGGCGCGCACATGCATAAACATGAAGCAAACAACTCGGTTTCGCTAATCACGCCCGTGTCACGCAAAACCCCCGCGCTACGCAGAGCCACGCGGAGCTACGCGCCCGTGCTGCCTCGGCAGACTGATTCCGAGGGTCGTTTTCGTCGCTCCTGTCCGCCTCGCACCCAAGGGGCGTCCAGTGTAGCTGCGAGAGAGACAGAGCGACGAAAACGACTCTAGGAGTCAGTCTGCTGGACGGGGAGAGGACAGACGGACTCGGAACTGTCTTCCCACGACAACGCATTGCAACGCATGCGCCAACAGCAGCGCCGGCAGTGCAGCAGCAGCGGTTGCAGCGGCCGGTTAATAATGAAAATCACGCAGCAATTAGGAGGGAGAACTAGTTGGTCGGCCTGGGGCGGCCTGGCCTGGGCCCAGCGGCTGCGGCACGGTCGCTCCTTTCAGCGAAGCCTCGAAAAGCGGAAAATAGACAAGCAACCAAGTAATGAATTGTTCTTTTCCAATATGAAATGGATTATTTTTTTAAAATAAAAAGTATAGAGCAAATGGAATAGCGAATAGGTAAACATATTGCTCCACTTTCGAAGTTGTTTTGTCCCTTATTTCTGAAAATCGATTCTGAGGTCGCGGTCCGCCCTTCGGTGTCGTTCCACGTGTTGTTCCACGTTTCCCAGGGACACTTTGGCGGCGCCCCGCCCGCAGCCATGCAGTGGCGAGGGTGCTGATCCTTTCCCCCGCGTGGCGTGCAGTGGCGTGCCGGCAGCGAGAGTGAGGCGAGGAGCCTGGCGAGACGAGCCGAGCGCCGGCCGAGCCGAGCCGAGCCGGGCCGAGCCGAGCCGAGCCGAGCCAAGACGCGCGGCTGTGAACTTGACCGCTGTCTCGCCGCGTTCACTTACTCCCACACCGCGCCGCGCCACGCCGCGCCACGCCGTCGGGATTTGCATTTGATGAATACCGGAGTTGCCAGACGTTGCCAGGTTCCAGGCCTTCCAGGCACGCGGTTCCGCGCGGTTCCCAGACGTGCCAGCGCCCCGACAGCGCGCCCCTCCCCCCTTTCACCCAATCATTTCGTACTTTATTGATAACGCCCGTTGACGGAAAAGCAGCTCCAGTCTTTTCGGTGCGGAAAACGGTACATTTCAAAAGGCTTCCTTTTCTTCTTATTTTTTTTTTTCGCACGATTTAGCAGGGCGTGCGGTGATTACCTCGGACAAACGAAAACAAATTATTATTCACGCGCAAGAGCCCATAATGAAAAGTAATCGTGAGGAGCCAATCAGATGCGGGTGTAAAACGTGTACGAAAGTCCCATTTGGTACCTCTGCAGAGTCGCACATTCCACACACACGTCAGGGCCGAGTAAACCGACGTGGAATCGCGATATTAGACCATGTCAAATGCCCATCGTTAGTTTCACATTAGTCGTAATGTGACTGCATAATGTTGATGATAATAAAAATTCAATTAAAACTGCGACAAGCAGACAGACAGACAGAGAGACAGACAGAGCGACGAACAGACAGGCAGACAGACAGACTGCGAGGCGTCATAACGATGCCCCATCACGTCACCTGGAGGCGCCACTACACTGCCTAATCGGAGAGCACCTCTTTGGCGGGGAGACGTATTTAAGAGTGTGGCCGCCCCGCCAGTCACGCGCTCCGCCGGGTAATAACACTGCGAGCAGCGCATCTCGTCCGGCAACGTCGAGTCCGGATCGGTACAGACCGGGCCCCCTGACCTGCCCCAACCACACACTTACTCCCCCGGTTTCGCTTTTCAAAACGACCTTCACTCTTCGATCCGAAAGCCAGTACGCTTTCCAAGTGAACCTGACCGGGGCACAATAAAGTTTGCTTCTTTTAAATCTTTTCAAAAAAAAGTTTTTTTTTTTAAGACGTTTACCTGAACACCCCCAGGCCCGTCTAAAAACAACGTGTTTTGACGGATTGCCTCGGTTTTGACAGTGCATTACGTGGTCATTTCCCCTGCCGCCGACAGTCGCACGACGCGGGGAAGCGATTCGTCTTGAAAACAAACTCACCGATGACAGATCCCACCGGCAGGTCCTCGCTGACGAAGAAGCTCTCCGCCGACGACCCGCTCTCCAGGAAACACCGACTGTCCGCTGCGGAAACAGAAAACGTTATTAGATTTGTCCGTTCGGGGGGAAAATACAAAACTGGACGGGGGACCAGAAAAAAAAGGGTAAACAAGGAAGAAGGGAGGGAAGGAAAGAGTTTTAACTGTTGCTCCGAGTTGACAATCGTCCGGGAAGCGCACGATGCCGCCACCCCCCCCCACCCACTCCCGTTTGAGAACAAGCCGCGGGACAATTAGAGGACAACTAGGACCGCCTCGGCGCGGCCACGGCGCGGCCACGGCGTCGCCACCTGGCCTGGACCACCCGCACTCGGACACCTCCAAGAAGGCCGTGTTGGCGGTGGCGTCATCGTGTCTCCCAGGCACCGGGCGGAATGGCAAGCAGGGGGACCGGCGGCAGTTTCGGGGTGGCGAATACTTAATAACACAGAGAGTTGGCCCGGCTTCGTCGAGGATTAAATCGAGAGAAGTTTCTAAAAGCCTACTAGACAGGGAATCATTTCCCCCCACTGCAAACTGACTACTGATAATCAACAATTATTGGCTGGCAGGGTAGCGGCGCGGGCAAAGCCAGGCTTGCGTCACCGCCACGGCGCGCCACCAGCCAACCAACCTTCCACCGAAATGAGTGAATCTCCGTCACGAGTGACTGCATACCCCTTTGGTATTCAGCCGCCGCGACCACCTCGCAGCTGCCGCAGCTGCCGTCAGGGGCCTCTCCGCGTCGCACGACGGCAAGCCCGAGGGAAGCCGACGACAGTGCGATCGCCAACCAATCGAACCACCCCACTGTGGGGCGAAGCTTTTTTTACAATAAAAATGCTCCAACTTTCGTAACGATAATTCCGTCATCCTCAGAGGTCACCACCCTCTTCAAACAGACGCGGCAGATGGCCGCACCGCTGCCTGGCACTTCGGAAGTAAAACGAGAGAGAGAGAGAGAGAGAGAGAGAGAGAGAGAGAGAGAGAGAGAGAGAGAGAGACTAATCGCCAGGTAACAAGTGATGGGAGTTAAAACGAAATTACCTCGCCACGCGTTTCAACTAGCCAAAGCCGCCTTTCAAGTTGGAAGTCGTTAACCCCGGCGCCGGCCGGCACTGCAGAGCTTTGCTGGGCAAACAGTGAATTAGTCCGAGGCGTTTCGGCAGACGGCGAATATGAAGTGCTCACCCTCCGGGTCAGAGGCCTCGGCCACGCGCCAGAAAAAGCCTTCCAGGAAATGCAAAACTTCGTGATTTGTTTTCCCCTTTTTCGGCGTTTTGCGCCGCACTTCAACTCTTTTTAACGTGCGCCCGACCCAGAATTTCCTTTTTCGCCCACTACGCTTGGGTTCCGCCGCCTCGCCTCGCCGCCGCGCCGCCGCGGTACACCGAAGCATTAAATAAATAGAACCTTTTCGTCAAAAACCGCAGCGTCTGGCTGGCCTGTGTGTTGTGTCCATGTGGACGTGCGCGCCGTCCCCGCGACCACAGACCGTTCCGCTCTCTCTCTCTCTCTCTCTCTCTCTCTCTCTCTCTCTCTCTCTCTCTCTCTCTCTCTCTCTCTCTCTCACGCCTGGGCGTGTTCAGGTTGACTGCCTTTGCGCTCCATTACGGTCGCGGCGGGTCAATCTCAGCTGTCCTTTTTTTCGCCACAAGAAAAAACAGCACGCCCCCTCAAGACGCCGTGCATATCACCGCCACCCGGATTTGGGCTGCGCGCTGATGGTTTGTCAGTGGTTTCTGTCTCTCTCGCGCTCGTGCCCGGCGTGGGGTGCGAGTGGGGACTACCGGGGCCGGCGCGTTGGGCAACGGGTCGCGGGGTGTGTTCCAGGCTGCTCCAGAAGAGGAGGGTGTGTTCACCAACACGTCGCTGGCTGACGAATGTCCCATGGCGCTTTCTCTGCACTGCAGACCTGCAGACCTGCAGACCGCAGGCATAAATCGAGGCATCTCGCAGTTACGCACCGCCAGGCTCACACAGCCCGCCCGGGTCAGAGGGTCGGCCCACCTCGCCGGCCTCGTCAGCAGCGTGCGCTCGTTACCGATTCATTTCCAGAGCAACGCGCCGTCCGCGGAAAAGTCACAAGTTCAGCCCCTTCGCGCAGTGGGCCAGAAGACCGGCGGAGGCGGCCAAAACTCTCGACGCGATTTGAGCTCCAGAGTCGCTGAACAGGACTCGAACCGAGCGTGTGACCCCACCAATGGATTCCTCGTTCGGAGAGCAATCCATTGGTGGGGTCACACGTTTGATTCGAGCCCCATTTGGCGACTCTGCAGCTCAAAACGCGTTTCGGCCGCCTCCACCGGTCTTCAGGCCCACTGTGCTTCGCCCTGCCGGCGTCGTGAAGCAGGGAATTCCCTCGAGTGCTTCCGCTTGCGTTTGAATATTCGCGGCTGCTCTGCCTGCGCTGCCTGCGCTGCCACAGCCATCAGTCAACCCGACGCCCCGGCCCGACCCGTCTAGAAGGCCGATAGCGGTCGCGGACCATAATGCGTTCGTTAGACGGCGCGGCGGCGGTTCGAGACGCGTTCACCGCCAAAGGCAGCCAGGCACCAGCCAGCCAAAGGCCTCTATTGGCCCTTTTGTCCGCTAAACAAGCAAACCCGCACCGAAGACCCCGCCCAGCCCCGCCGCGCCCCGGCCGGCAGGGCGTGCCCGCCCCATTATTGTTGCTATAAGCTTCAAGTGTGCTTTCTCCGGGCCGCACCGGAAGGACGCGGCCGATGTTTGGCGAGACGCGCGCCAGATTTTTCGATAAATCGATCGATATTGCTCCCGGCGCGGCCACCCACACACACCCGCCAGGAGCAAATCGATCCATTTATCGGAATATCTGGCGGGTGTAGGGCGGGGCTGGACGCACCGCCCGCCACAGAGGCAGGCTGAACCAGATCTAGACGAAAAGGCGAACCTTCCAAAGTATTTAAAACTGACGTAAGGAACAATTTAACACCAATTAGTATAGTTTGTTAAACGAAGAATAGTTTGTTTCGAGGAGTGACGCTTTATTTTGCTGTTTCTATGCGAAAAATGAAGTCGGGTCCGTTCTTACCCGCTTTCCCGATTCCCTCTTCCGAGCGGAATTGATCCCTGGGGTTAAATAAAGCCCACAAGCGCTGCCTCCTCCCTCCGCCACTCAAGATGCGGCCGATAGTGAACAGGCTGCGATTTCTTTTTCCAGGAGTAGGTGCACCTCCTCGGTCATTACGTCGCGGCCAATTGTTTCGCACGGCCTCGGCTCGGCTCGGCTCGGCTCGGCTCGGCTCGGCTCGTAGCGCGCCGAGGCGGCGGCGCCGCGATCGCTCGATTATTGGCCGATGAATCGGCAAAGCGGCCGAAGGGTCCCGAAGACTTCCGAAGGGTTTCCGAACGAGCCGAATGTGCATCGGGCGGCGAGGAAGCTTCTTTCGGACGCGGATCGGCCGGCGTGCTCCGACTGCCGCCTTGCCGCCGCCTTGCTGCCGGTGATGGGCAGCAGATAGAGGAGCAGACTTTCGCTGCGAAGCTCTGCGAAGCCCCGCCGAGCCGAAGCCTCTACATCACGTGACTGTCGAATCGGGTCCGGGGTTGCGGACGGACGGACGGACTGGGGCGCACGACGCACGGCTCGACGCCCCGCCGGCCAGGAAGAACACGACGAGAGCAACAAGCTATGTGGAAATTTGCAAAACCGAAGTTTATAAATAAGCGGGAATTTTTGGTCGCTGTGCCAATCCTTTTTTTTTCGCACTAGTCATTAAGGATGATGACAAAAGTCGTACATAAACTCCCCCCCCCCTTTTCTTTTTTTTTTTCAAAATTGAAAATCACATACTTTGCCACAGTTAGCCCGGTCGATCGCGTTCGATAGATCGATTCCGGGGAGCGGCCGCTGAAAGTCGTGGGCACGCGGCACGCGCGGGTCAGCCCTCCCTGCCTTCCAGCTCCCTGGGTAGTAAACCGATACAATAACGCTTACGCAACAATGGCGATGGCGCGGCTTATATCAGAAGGGGCCGGGTTCGAATACCACTCGCGGCGAGCGCCTTTTGCCCGGGTCGCGCCGCGCCGCTTTCCGAACGCACTCTCGTCACTCGGAGCGCCGGCAGCGAAGAGGTGTGCGGAGCGGAGCGGCTGTTTCGAGACGCTGGGCCGTTAAGACTGCGCGGAAGTGGCCGTAGTGTTGTTCGTGGAGCTCCAGGTCTCTTTTTACCGGCCCAGAGTAGGGGATGAAGGTCGTGGCAGGTTGAGTCATCTCTCTCAGCACACTAGAAGGGCGCCGGAGAGTCATAACCTCAGTGCAGAATCGGCCTGCGAAGACGGCTATTCGCGTGTCCCAGACTTTCTTGTAAGACCGGCGGGCTTACACACGTCACGGACTCGTCACGGGCACGTCACGGGCCGTCCGATCGGCTAATAACTAAATGACTGGCCGGGCCAGGGCCGCAGCCTCGGCCTTTCTCGTTGTATCGACTTGTGCAGGCCGGGCTGGCCTGGCCGGGGCAGGCCACCCTTGTTTCCCCGGGCAGACATGCGTGAAATGTCCGTGTCCAGCCACTCATAATAAAGCGATGCGTCAGGGCCTTCCTCTCCTTAGCCTCCTACACTGTCTCCTGCCTCCACCCGCACCCCGCACAGTGGGCCAGGAGGCCGGAGGAGGCGGTCGAAATCCCGGACGGGTTTTGAGCTCCAGAGTCGCTAAATGGGACTCGAACCGAACGTGTGCCCCCACCAATGGATTCCTCTTTCGGAGAGCAATCCATTGGTGGGGTCACACGTTCAGTCCGAGTCCGATTTAGTGACTCTGGAGGTCAAAACCCGTTCGGGGTTCTGACCGCCTCCACTGGTCTTCTGGCCCACTGTGGCGCGTCGCTGCGTTGCCTGCTGCCTGCACCGACAGGCGCGGTCTCTCTCGCACTTCTTCCCTTTTCCTTCCGCGTTTGAAGGTCGCGAAGGCACCGAACATCTCTCTCGTGCCGCTAAGGGTCGCTCCACAAGTGCGAGAGAGACAGAGACAAGCGCCAAAGTTGACGGCGACACGCGACGCACCAGCCGCCGCGATTT